CTTGTTTAAATGGGAGATTTACCATGATATTAGGTTGATGGGGGAGATTTTAACAATAGCAGCAAAAATGCTTCATGGAATCTCCGATAAGAGATAAGAAAGTTATCATATTCACAGTTACAATCATTAACACATTCATATTGGAAATCTGTGACGTAAACTCCGAGCATATCTTCCAATTGCTCAATAGCTCTACTATTAATTTCATGAATTTTGATTTTCTTGGGTTTTCGATGAAGCATTCGATTTTTACTTAAAATAGGGGTTGTGTAAAACATCTATGTAATGATTATATTCGGGTTGCATGTAGAAATGAATATATCCTTCATATTTTGTTTAAAGATACTATGTCCCTTTTGCAGCCAACCTCAAATTCTCTAGAACTTTGCAGGAATTATGAATATGTCGTGTATGTTCTATCTTACTTCTTATTTGCTAGACTTCACTGTCAGACACTATTGTAAGTATCGAGTGACTGACTGACTTTTTCTTCTTCTTTGGTAATAGCATACATAAAATGAGCTGTAAAGGATTTGTCTACATCAATAACCCACTTCTTGTAATGGCCAAAATTAAACTGATTGAATCTTTGCGCAGCATAAAACGTACGACCATGCGGTACAATGGTCTGAAAATCAAGACTATTACTTATTGGCTCTATAGCTCCTAAGTCGATTTGACAACTAACAGTCATTATTTTCCCACTTAAAGACATTTTCAAGCCCCATTTTTTAAGGGGAGTTCTAAATTAGTATTATCTTTCATATGCCATTGGAATTTAACCTTTTCATTTTTTTTGGGCCTGCAAAAGGGACATAGTACCTTTAAGGTAGAGCAAATGGGAATGGTGTTTTATAGGTATGTCTGGTAATCGCTAATTTACGTTTCATTGCAATTTGAAAAACCTTTCTTATTTTTCAATCGGAGATTCCTCAAACTTTGTCTGATCTGTCTTTTTTCCCCTGCTTTTATTTAATAGAATTGAATACCACGGTAGGCTCCCCCTTTAAGTCTACACCTACAATATTAAACACACATCACACACCCTTCCTTGTCCAGTCGTGTGTGTATTCTCATCAATGGAAGAACGACCCGGGCATAGTTTCACGAAACCATCACAAGTACAACTTCACCGACATCCCATTAAACGCATTTAAATTACAATATACGTGTTTAATGGCATGTCAGTGAAGTTGTACGTATGACGGTTCCGTGAAACGGTGCCATGTATCGTGTATCATGCATGGTTAAGCGTAATGACAGAACTGATAATAATTATATATCAATTTATTTTAAATAGTTATAACGATAATGATAGTGACATATTTTCACAAATATGCTGCATGGAGATTAAGTGAATCGTATGATTGGCGTATAATAGAATTCAAAAACACGTGACAGTTTATATAGTATATAAATCTTTTAATCTTTCTCAATATGTTAGAAATTGGTTTCTTATATCTTGGTGTTCAATTAACAAACTTGCGTATCACGATGTCGTACATATAAGACTACGATACGATTTAGTCTTCTTTTTCTCCCTCCGTTTGAGTTAGAGATCAGCAGTCAGTTCATGCAGAGATATCGGTGATGAGAAAGGCTGTCGTTATTAGGGACTTTTAGATTTGCACGTCGGCTGACACGTAGCAGTCCACTATGTCGACGTGCAAATCTAAAAGTCCCTATTGTCTCGTATATGAGGGCTTGGTCCTGGGATACCGATGAGAGTAGTGTATGTATTTGCAATATGAATTCGTGGAGGGCAAGGGTCGATTTTATATGTGGTAAGAGTTAGGTCCGGGTTGGTAGGTCTCTGTCTAGGGTAAGTAGAATTTCTATTTCTGGGAGCTTCTTGTTGGCATTCCTTATGAAAATGGACCCCTTTGCGGAAAGAAACAATTGAATCTTACGACAGGTTGATTAAAAACACAATAAAAATTGAAACGTTGCACATAGCGCTATACAAAATGAAACTATTATCATGGTTTATTATTCCTAAATATGGTTTCGATTAGACTCGTCATACTGATAGCAAATATTAGCATTCACGATTAAGGAAGGTTCTCACAAAATTCGCTCAGCTAGCGCACTAAACAAATATTTATTTTACTCTTGTCGTTCAAGTAGAACCAAGTGGATTTGTTCGCGACTCGTTCTTCCTTGTTCGAGTATTTATATTCAGACAGAGTTTTGTGAGATAATTTCAAATCAACAGCAAAACTGACATGATGTTATGGTCTATACATCGTATTCAGTGTGTACTGACACTAGTGATAACTGTAAAGTTACGTTGTTCATATGCTGGTGAGTGTTTTTCTTTTCTTTCCTTCTTCATGTTGTTTTTCGTCGTTGTAATTTTGCCTTTTGTCATTTCGACAGAGTTGACATATTATTAGCCGCGATGGATTCTATCTCCCAATATTTATGTTTATGCATGTTTACTATAACCTTTTATTGAATGACGTTGAATTGAACTAACTCAGTTATGTCAATTTATGTTTTATGGATGGTCATATAGCCTAGGTCTTCGGGGAGGGGGGGGGGGTAACAAATAGGAGGGGAAATCGTTGCCTCTGTGCAGCATTTGTCACAATATTAGTTGCGAGCCATTAACACTCGCACCTTTCCTGCCTGTACTATGGTTTTGAGAATAACAACGTTCTCAAGTAAATCAAGTAAAACCTATTGTGAGGGTGCTATGTCAGGCATGTGGGTTAGTAGCCGGAACAGTTAGATTTCAGTGGGTGTATCCAGCATATGATTGAGCCAGTTGACCCCCTCCCCAAAAAATTATAATGGTGCATTCTGCCCTATCGCCTTCCCAAGGAAACTCCACACGCTCTTTGTCCATTATTTGATATGCCACAGATTATCATGACGGATATCATGTACACATACTTCAGGACCCCTAGTTGATTAGCATAGTAGCACACCCATGCATACTTTAGCAGTCACGCAAAACAAACACACATTATTATTCAATTAAATCTGAGAATGTATACTATTATCTAGATCTATTAGGAAAAAATTATTGTCAAAATCATTCCATAAATTGGGGTAAAAATATTTATTCCACCTTAATAACCAACAGTGTGAATATACATATCTCTTCTCTTCCTCTCTCTCTCTCTCCCGCCCAACCCCTCGCTCCTTCTTGCTCTGTAAGAAAATCAAGTAGCATAAACCTTTCTTACACACACACACACACACACAGAAATATATTAATATCCTAAAAAATGACGTATAATAATAATTGCCCAAAAGGTGGTTTCGAATCAACCGGAATTAAGCTAAAATTGATTAAATGGATTCGATCTGTTTCATACTCTGTTTGCTTTTACCACTGACTACAAATACAGTTACTTTCGAGGCCAAAAGTGACCAGTCAATACAACAGAGTGACAATGTAGAAATAATGGGAGTCATGTAGGAGGAAAAATCCATTGTTTCAATGGGACATTCAACCTGCTGCAAAAATGATTCATGTAATGTCCGAAAAAAACATAAGAAACTTATAATCATTGACACATTCCAATGGAACATCTGTGACCAAAACTTTGAGCATCTCTTTCAATTTCACAGTAGCTCTACTTATAGTTATATTTTCATAAATTTGATTTTCTTGGGGTTTTTTTTTCGAAGAAGGATTTGATATTATAAAAAAGGGGTTGAGAAAAACAGCTTGGTAATAATTATGTTCGGGTTGCATGTAGTAATGACTATATTTTTCACCACAGAAAACGGTAATTCATAATTTTGTGCTTTCATGGGAGAGCAAATGGCAAAGGTGTTCGATAGGGATGTCTTGTAATCGCCAATTTACGTTTGATGGCAATATAAACAACTTTCTTATTTTTCATTCGGATTTCCTCGAACTGTTTCTGATATGTTTTCCCTTTTCCTGCTTTTATCAAAAAGAATTGAATATCAGGGTACACTCCCCCTTTAATTCTACACCTAAAATATAAAACATACATGATACATCCTTCCTTTTCGGGTCGTGACGTGAGTAAGTAAACTCGAAGTGGATTTTTTTCGCGACTATAGTTCTTCCTTGTTCGAGTATTTTTATTCAGACATTGTCAATACAGATCCGTGTTTTGCATTTCATGATAGAATAAACGTCAATACTTTGTCTTACGTTGATGCAGGCAGAGTTTTGTGAGATAATTTTAAATCAACAGCAAAAACTGCCATGATTTTATGGTCTATGTATCGTATTCAGTGTTTACTGACACTAATGATAATTGTAACGTTACATCGTACATATGCTGGTGAGTGTTCTCATTTCTGCTTCCCCCTTTTCCCTCTATTTTCTTTCCTTCTTCTTGTTCTTTGTTGTTGTTTTGCTTTTTTCATTACGACAGAGTTGGTATATTATCGGCCGCGATAGATTTTATCTCCCAACGTTTGTGTTTATGCATGTTTACAAAAACTTGTTATTAAACTAAATTGAATTGAATTGAATCAGTAATGTCAAGATAAGGTATATATAATTTATGTTTAATGGATGATTCGCTGATAGAAAAACATTTTGCAGTAGCATCAAAGACTTGAAACAGCATCCCTCTTTCCATAAGGAAAATTATCTGTCTTGCCACATTCAAAAGATCCCTCAAAGTTTATCCTTTCCCCAGTGATCTATGTGATCTATTTCCTGTGAGACTGTTCATTTGTTGTCCTTTTTTCATATATTTGTTTTTGTAAGCGCTATGATGCTTATTGTTTTTAGCGCTCGTAAATATTCGATATTATTATCATTATTATTATAAAAGAACATTTGCCATAAGAGTCTCTTACAAATGTACACAAAGAGTATAAGAGTGAGAGGGGAGGGAGGGAGAGAGAAAGAGAGGGGGAGCAATTCTTTATTCGTCTACAGGTAAAGGAGATTCATTATGTATCAAATAAGTTCATAGTTAATTAGGATACCTTGATGTAATCCTGAGTAAATTGAGAGAAGAAAGGATAATTCGAATCTTTTTCCGTTTGCTTTGTAGAATTTACCTGTTATTTCGGGAAAAATGGACGTTGGGCATGGTCTAATGATTTGACCAAATGTGGTATTACGCAGGCCAGCTCACCAGGTGCCTGGGGAGCGGTCAGTGGCCGGGGTAGCAATGGCAATGCACCACAAGGAGGCGCAAATGGTTCGTATACTCTTCAGTGGCTAGTTTCTCGAAACCATCAGAAGTCTAAGTTCGTGGACAACCCATAAATACGAGTATTAATTTTATAACACAGGTTTAAGTGGGCTGTCCAGGAAGAAAAACGTATGGCGATTTCAAGAAATGGCCCCTGGTCTTTTTCTTCACCCAAAAGAATCTACCTATAGATCAGCCCTGCCTTCGCTAGATTCCCTCATATTTCACAACAAATTTTGTCTTTAATACCTATGTCACTGATTTGTTCCCCTCTCTTTCTTATTAGAATGTAGTGTCATCAACTTTTAAAGATATATCTAACATAATTATCGTGTTTCTTCAATTTGCGAATATGACTTGTATCTTTTTTTATTAATATATCTAATGAAGTGTTGTGAAATAAGAAATACAAACTAAGCTAACACTAAAAGTTAGTCGGTTTAATAAGATTTCTGTCTAGTTATATCATTCACCTCCAAATATTTCAGATTATCTCTCTTTGCTGTCTTTAGATGGGTTCCTACTAACGACAGGTGGAGGAGAAAGCATGAAGATCCAAGCAATATTCCAACTACCAAATCTAAATCTACAACACAACTCTGGACTACTCTCCTTCCACTACAAGTTCTTTGATTCTGGTGAGAGCAGCCTGACGATTTCTGTCTGTGGTTTTATAATAGATGATGTCAGCCTACAGTCTAATGGCGTCTGGGAGTTGGTGGAAAACATCAGAATCTACTGCAATGGAAATAACCCTACGGTAGGCGTAAATTTATGATGATGACGATGAAATTAATAATAATATTGATAATAATGATAATAATGGTAATGATAACAACAATAATTATATTAATAATGGTAGTGGTAATAATGATAAATCAAAAGAATAATAATAATAATAATAATAATGATAATGAAAATGATAATAATTATAATAATTAAGATAATGATGATTATAATACAAATTTTAAAGTCCGTTCCTGTAATTATTATATATTAAACGTCCCTATGCACTTTTAAAGAGCTTTGGAGATTATTACTCCGACTTTAGCTCATGCAGCTTTTAGCAGCGCACTGTGCATTTCAAGATATAATCCAGATACTTATTTACCACATCTGGGTTGAGTGTGACTAGTGTAGATTAATGCCTTGCCAAATGAATTAGTGCTGTAGCAGGGATTAGAACCTGTTCATTGTGGTTCACAGTTCGTAGACCTATCCACTAGACCACAACACCTATGTAAGTAATATTTAACATGCTTTTGCAAGATGTTATTTCTCTCACAATAAGTATTTTAAAAATCTATACATGTAAACTCGGAAAAGTTAGGTAGAACAATCGCGTGACATAATAGGCAAGACACTATTCACCTAATACAAAATCTATATTTAGTATATATATATATATTAGGAGGAAAGTCGTATTTTCGTATGCTGCTTTCGATATTAATGACAGTCGATACAATCAAAGAAAGTGGCCTGGAATGTATTTCGGTCACTAATGACCCGAAATCTAGCTGTAATATTTAAGGTTAATAAACAAATTAATAAACAAATAAATATGTAGGCCTTTTTTTTTCTACACTTAATGTTTATGGGTTTATACACAAACAGGGGGATTCCCTTGTGCACGTTACCTTTGAAAGTTAAAGGATCACTTCCCCAGTACTTGGTTTTTGTCAAATTATTCAAAACCAGTGAACCGAGGAAACCATACTAATAAGGGAAAACAAATACGTTTACATACTAGAAATAATTTCTCATTTTATTCTCTTGCTCAAGAGAAAATGTTACTTCTAATAACCATAATGCTCAGTTTAGATCCTATCTATCAAGTCATTTGTGTGTTTTTATTTTTAAAATCATCATTAAACATAACAAGTAATAACTTGATTATATCTTTTAGCCACCATTTTCACCCGATCTTGTATGTTTCTATTATACATTAACTCGAAGTTGAACCGACGTTGTTTTTGTCCCTCCCCTAGTTTTTATGAACATATTCCATTCACCATGATTCACGTTTCATAATTAATTCATTCCCCTCCTTCGTAGGTAACCTTCAATGCAACATGGAGCATTTCCTCCGGTCGCGTAGCCGTGGATAACATCCGGGTCGTGTCAACTCCACCACCAAGTATGTAGTGATGAGTATGAGTCAGTAGAGAAAAAGCCCACCTCATACAAACTTGCCTGATACATGTATTCTATAGGCCTACTATGTTGTAGAAATTGGCTGTACAATTAGGCCAATGTGTATGATAATGACTACAATCATTTCCGAGAACGTACAGGAAACGCTCTACTGAACAGGAAAGAGCTACAAACCAGGAGCCTCGCTCAAAGAATAATATTTATATTGGATTACACTGTACGTGTAATGTATTCCTATATTAATATAATCTCTCATACCTATTCTCTCATTACTACTTTTCGCTTTAATTCATTGTCGCAAAAAAAAAAATGATTATTACATGTACATTTACAATAATAATAATAATAATAATAAAAATAATACAGTAATAGTATTAATAAAAATACAAATAAAGATAGCATCAACTGCAGCAAAAACACTAATAAAAACAACAATAACAATGATGAATTTATATATATATATTGGATATTTTAAAGGCGAATAAATCAACCACGTAAGGTGCTCAAGGTGCTCCAGTATTACCCCAGCTCTAGCTATAGCTAGGCTACCGGTTGTTGGTGCTAACAGCATTCAAGGAATTCCTTTTTAACCACGCGCAGATTCAAGCGGGGGCACACCCGCCCCTCCCCTCCCCCCATTTGGCGGCTTAAACCAAAAACAAAACAAAACAAAGAGAGAAAAGTGGAAAAATAATCATGCTGTTTCATGCATATGGCACATGTCATGAAAATGTCTTTGACATTGTCATTAACCATGTCATTCATGGGATATGAATCGAACAAAATCCATACAGAAAGAAAGGGGAAAAGGATAGATTCTGACGAAATCAGAAATGCTCTGCTACGCTACGCGGCAGATCACCTTAACAAAAAGATAGATTCTGTCTTTAAAAAAGGTGCCCTGTATGCTACGCTACGCGGCAGATCACCTGATTACAAATGTTAACCGACTGGTTCAGATGTAACAATCTGTTATTGAATTTTAAGAAAACAAAGTATGTATTATTCCACTCTAAAAGGAAAAAATTCCATCAAACACTGACCCGATAATAATTGAAAATGCTTTTATTGAGAGAACTAAGTCATAAATTGTCTAAGGCATTCTTATTCATGAGTCATTTGAATGGAAGTATCACGTTGCTAATATATCTTTTAAGCTTTCAAGAATTGTAGCTGTTTTATCCAAACTCAGATATTTTATACCTACAAATCTAAATTGATAAGCTATATATTTTACAAGACCGTACAATACGACGGACAAAAAGATTGACTTACGAAGTCCTAGTCTACCACTAATTCTCCCAGTGTTTGAACTTGTAAAACTTGATATATGATTTTTGATGTTAAAGTATCACAAAGGGATTCTCCCCATATTTTTCGATAATATGCTTAAAACTAATTCTTCATTTCATACGTATCACACTCGTACACATGATATTCTTTGTATTTCCATTACGCGTTCAACTATATGAGGGCCCATTCTATCCGTTTTACAGGAGATTATACATGAATGAAATTCAATTTGTAATAACGTTAAATCCAGCTCATCACTTTCTCGTTTTAGAAATCTATTCAAATGTTACATTTTTTCAACAATGTAATCATTGACTGGCCTTTCCTTATCTTTCACATTCTCACCTCTTCCCTTCTTCTCTTTCTTATTCCCACCTCTATCTTTTCTTCTCTTTCTCACATATTCCCTTTCTTCTCTTTCTCATTCTGAACTCTCCGTTTTTTGTATTGCTGCTGTGTGTTCGTGTGTGTTTGTGGGTGTGTGCATATACATAGGTGATACCTGCTGATAATTAATGGTCGGTCTCTTCTCTTCTTCTTCTTAAAGTACGTATATTATATATATCTAGAAAGTCTTATTTGTTTTGCTATTTAATTGAAAATTGTGTTAACCTTGAGAGGGGCATCATGCACAAGCACAAATATAAATTTGTTTTGACTACGTAGACTTTGTCAGTGGCATTTATTTATTTATTCATCTCATTTATTTCATTTCCAGGCAAGATGATAACAATACATGAAAAACATCACAGATAGGTTGACAAAACTATATTACATTAACAGTATGATATTTAGCACCAGCAATGCCTGGGGGCCACCTAAAAGAATTTTTGAAATTCTGTCGAGAGGCTCTCCACATTGGTTGGTGCATACATAAAACAAATATAAAGATAAGGTAAACTTATACATGAATGTGAAACTAAAAATAACCCTCATATTAGGCACATGTGAGGGAGGTCAGAAGCAAATAATTTCATGTCATACAATAATGCCATGCACTGTTAATAATCTATTCAGATTAAATCTTGTATACGATACACACATATAGCATAATGTCTGTTACTATACGGTTATATGGATAAATTACTTTCAGGATTATTATAAGGAAGGATTGAAAAAAAAGCTGCATTAGTTCCTTACTCTTTCTCGCTCTCTTTCTCTCTGACCTTGTCTCTATCCCCATCTCTCTCACTCTCTCTATCTCTCTCTTTCTCCCTCTCCTCTCCTCTCCATTCTCTTCCCTTCCACTCTCTCTCTTTCCTTCCCCCATCTCCCCATCGCTCTCTCTCTCTCTCTCTCCCTCTTCTTTTTAAAATAATTACCTCTTTAATAGCTCTCTGGGACTTGTGCAGACTCTGTTGATCCCTAAATCACCTGAGGTGATCTTTACTCCGGAATGAGGAAAAGAAAATCATGAGAGTTCACAATAACAGGAAATAACACCCACCTCGTATTCGGCCTAGGTCTACTTTGCGAAAATATGGGGAAAATCCCCAAACATGATCACGCAAACAAAGTATACTTTCTTCGCTGCAGGCCTACTTGTATAAGCAGTTTTCCTGATAGTTTGCAGACATAAAGCCTTGTCAGTCGCTATGCGTAACAGTGTCTGCACAGTGAGACAAGGCTGAGGGCATACTGCAAAGGCTCTACCTAGCTGAATAGAGTAAAGAGATTTCGTTTTTTGTCACCCCTGATGATGTAGTAGGGGTATATACCGATGTTTTAAAAAAATGTAAATACCGCTTTGAGGTTACCCTTTGCAAGTGCGTGTTCTTTTTATTGGAATAGGAAGAAAAAAAAGAGTATAACAAGAATAGGTTTTGACGAGAACAATAGGTGCTCTGGTACGCTTTACGCAGTAAATCACCTAAAAGAAACCTTCAAAAGACGGGAATCTAGAACCAGCAATTTATTGGACTGCATTTTTACCAATTTAGTTAAACCAGACCTTACGTCTAAAATCAAGTTTAACAAAGGGAAAACTTAGAGCGCAGAATACCTTCTTATTATTTTGAACAAAAACAAAAACCAGTCGTCGGTTTTAAATGTTCCAATGTTCCGAAAATACGGGCCATAGTGTGTTCAAGATGTTCGATAAAGGTCTTAAGGACGTTAAGATCTAAAAGGGGATTTTGGCCGAACAAACCCATTCATACACTTTTGAAGAAAACGAAATGTTAAAATTAAAAGAAAATTATTATAACTTTTGCTAAAGATTATGATAAAGTATGTTTCACAAAACGTGTTTTCGGTGTCAGCCTTTCAACACAGGCATGGATTCAGGCGGGGGCACAGCCGGCCGTGCCCCCCCCCCCCTTTGGCGGCTTAAAAGAAAGAAAGAAAAAGAAAGAGGGGAAAATCAACTTTTTAAAAAAAGGTATGGGTTTGATTGTTTGAACTACAGCTGTGGCAAGCCACGGACTTCACGGTGTTCATTTCTATTCCCGATTCGTCCTATTACCTTCTCGATTTTTCCAAATTTGTGTTCCTACTTTACCAGATTTTTAACTTTTGTTCTCAAATCTCCCCCTTTTCTTCCTAATTTTTCCCATTTTTGCTTGTCATGGAAACTCCCCCCCCCCCACCCCCTGGGTACGCCGCTGCCATCATAACTAGCTAAGCGTTGCTTCACCGCACGTACTACTAAACGATTGCGGCGTGACTGCAGTGCGGTGCCGAAATGGAGTTTAATACATTTTAACTCCTAATGCGATAACTTTGGAGTTTGGGGTGAGTTGCAGCAGAAAGTAATTGATATATTGGCAAGCAAAAAACAGTGTAGCGCGCAGGTGCCGTTGCGTTTCGAGTATAAAATCAGCTTAAGTCTAATGGAGCGGTCAAATGACATATATTTTGAAAACTCCAACTCCAGCCACGATTCAGTCCTAGTTTTCTGATATGGTCATATGGTAACATATTCACAAGTTTTCTTTTCAACTGTAGAAAAATAATAAAGCCAATATAATTATAATGAAAATGTGGACAAAAAGTATACACCAAAATAATCGCGTGAATTGAGTTTGAAAATTGAATGTAAAAATTCAGCTAGGGGCGGGGTGAGGGGGGGGGGGGGGGCTGCAACCTGGATGGAGAGTGGCAAATGAAGATTACTGTCTCGCTAAAGGACACTAGTGCCACACCGGGTTTAGAATCCACAACATCATTGTCTATATTGAAGAGTTTACACCACTCGACTACGACACCTCTCCATTATCTGTTTGCTTGGCTTAAATTCTTTGTCTTTTTCTTCTCCTTTCTCTTTCATGCTGTTGTATCCTACTCAAATACTACGTTTTTGTATATATTTCATCTTTTGAAATACAACTTGAGTATATAATTCAAAAATGTATTTGGCGCATGTTATCTAGCCTTCTCGTTATTCCTGTTATCTATCATTACTTTAAATTATCTTTGATGCTGTTAAATCCATATACGCATGATACGTATTTGATTTATCTTGACTCATCTCTGTCTCGTTACAAAGCTACAACTACTAAAGCAACAACAGCCACCTTCAAATCGTCTACCAGCACGAAGCGGACAATGAACACCACGACGAAACATCGTACGAACACCACGGAGCACACGACGACCAGCATGGCGACATCGGAGTGGACAAGGTCTTCACCACGATCAACAGGTAGTGATTCGACAACGCCTGCCGTGGTGGATATCTCTTTCACTGAACCCTTGGTCTCAATCCCCAGCCGTTTAGGTAGCCGGTAACCACTATAATGATGCATGCATATCGTACATTGGATCGTGCATGAATATTAATACATCAATTTAAAATGGTTATGGCTGATGGTAAATGTGTGGTATATGACGTTGTATCGAACTGCAAGACCCAAACTAATCTTTTAATCCATTTTCATGCTTTAAATCAATCAGAAGCGAGGAATAAGTCGACGACAGTCGTTGCTATCAGTTTGACTGTCGTGGTCATAATCATAGTCATCGTCCTACTCGCCAGGATCATCAAATGTAGAAAATCAAGGTAAGCTACCCCTTTTTATTTGAAAATCTGAGTCCCTGTTTCTTAAAAAGAAAAATTGTTGACAATGACAACAGCGGCGTAGCTACGGGAGGGGGGCGGCACGATGGGCATAGAAAAAGAAAGAAAAGAGAGAAAGGGAAAGTGAGAAGGGGGAAATGACGAGGAGAGAAGATAAATGAACCACCCTTGTAAATTCACATTTTACAATTGTGGAATCATGACAATGATGAAATAAGTGCAAAAACAAGTAATGCAAGCAAGAAAATACCAACACATTGAGAACAAATATGCATGTATAATACATATGTCTACGGGATGTTTTTTTAATTTTTTTTTATCTTTAAAAAAAAAAAACCCATTTAAAACACGTTTTAAGTAGGGTTTAAAAATACATTGTTTTAAAAGTTCCATCCCTGGTTTGGGGTTATCAATAAAGAGTACCATTTTATAACTTGTAACACCTTAGTATAATTATAACGCTATTGGAAAAGCAAGGTTATCTGGAAATGAACGGTCTCTATTTCTAAACAATTGAAAAACATAAAACGGAAGAGGAAATTCCTGTTTGGTTTTACATTTCAATCCGGATTGATCTCAATCCCTTCTTTACGTGATGTGCATAATTTACATTTTTAATCATATACTTCTTTGTCCTTCACGTATTTTTATTGTTCAATATTTTGCTTATAACTGATTTTATTAAAAAAATCACGTTTCTGTTGTTAAAGAAGTTCAAAGGTCAATCGTGAGGGTCAAGAAATTACAATGTCGAGGTCGCTGAATCATAACCTGGAGAATGACTACGGGATCGACAACCAAACGGCGATGTCTAGTACCTATGACACAATATCCGAAGGTTGGAGCATACCCTTGTTTTCTTCCAATCGCAATAATATTGCTGTATACCTCAGTACAAAAACGTGTTTTGTTCCCAACCCCCATCTGAACGATGCTATAAACATGGATTACTGATGCTGCTGGTTAATAACATTGCATTTACTTCCAAGTCAAGATTTAAAAAACAATATTACAAAATCTTGAAAATGGAAGCATGTTAATAAGATATCTGAAGTGAAAGGATCACGAAAAGCATATATATGGCTTTTCAAAAATGATCTTCACAAAATATACAACATAATAACCTGACAATAACATAATTGACATAAAATCAAGATTACAAAAAGACAAAGAAAATGGAGAAAATAGGAGGAAACATTGCATAAACATTGACATTATGAGTAATTAGAATTTATCAAAAAGAAATTGATAATTTAGATTAATTGGTTCACTGTCTAACTATTCTTAAATGATATCGGAATGTTATTCTCATTATTATAATTATGAACAGAAAAATTCAAAGTGAAATTATTGATAAAACTTCAGGAAGCATATTGCAAAGTAGTTTTAACATTAATATCGCAATTACAAAATGTATTATTTCACGGATAGGTGAAATTTTCATAATGGTTTTTAGTTCATAATGATTTCTAGTCACATTTACTGCGAGCACCTCAGGAATGGCCCCTTTTCTGTAGATATTTCTTATATCATTTTATTTCACGAGGGAATCGAAATAATAATAGAGTTTACAATAATTATGCACTTTCACTTAGAGTTATTCTTCTCTTTCAATTATAGGTGTAAATCCAATTCAACAAAGCGACCAAGCGCCGAACGGCGATTATGGAACTGAAGAAATGGTGGTGAACATTCTCTACCAATCAGTAGATAAAGACGACTTCAATGTAATACCAAGCGCTATAGGAGGCAAGTGAAATAATTATCGACAACTTCAAGAAGCATATTGTTAAGATCACTGATTATTAATATTGCAGTAACAAAAGATATTATTACATGGATAGGTGAAATTTTCATAATGGTCCATAGTCCATAATGATTTCTAGTCACATTTGTTGAGAGCAGCTCAGGAATGGCCCCTTTTTCTGTAGATACCAACAAAAATATTCTATCATTTTATTTCACAAGGGAATAGAAATAATGATATAGTTTACAATTATTTGTTTCACTTTCACCTAGAGTGTACCTCCTCTTTAAATTGTAGGTGCAAATCCAGTTCAACAACACGACCAAGTGCCGGACGGCGATTATGGAACTGAAGAAATGGTGGTGAACATTCTATACCAATCAGTAGATAAAGATGACATCGATATGATACCAAGCGTTATATAGGAGGCAAGAATCTGCATCTCCCTTGCTCACACAATTGCCCTGGTTACCTTCGAAAAAGCGTACCAAATATAAAGTTTCACTGGCAGCATACAAACGCCTAAAGGAAAGACAAATGTAAACTGTATTTGCAAATGTTGCATTTTGTGTGAGATTTAATGACATTCAAGGTGACATAACAATTTGTTTGCTTATTTTAAATCACAATTCTATGCTTTGGTGAAAAATTAATTTTCATATCACATTTATCTTGTGCATTCTCAAAACAAATAAGTATACTAATAATGTCTTATATACAATAAAATAACATTGGTGTGTAAATTATGACAATGATATGTCTGTGAATTTTGATACTACACAAGTAAAACATCTGTAACCTTACATAAATCATTATATAATGTCTAGCCTCTTCTCCCAGACACTCATTCTCTTTGCTATATCATATGTTGATATGGGTGTTCCTATACATGTATATCAATGGCAATTGTTGTAGTATCTACATACGATCATGTAAAAATGGTAATATCAATACATTTCCACAAGGAAGAAGTAATGCATTTCCTTTGACATACATAAGGGGGGGGGGGGGTAACTGCAATATGATTACATACATTTTGGCAACTGGGTTCCATCTTATAGCTGTATGCAGGCACTGCATAAATTGCCATTTGCCTGTTTGTGCCATCCCATATACTGTAATTCATGTTTTCCAAATTATACCAAACAAGACAAATCTGATACATGGGGGGGGGGGGGGGGGTGATAAAAAAATTCACTCCATATCTTTAAATTACTACAGACTTTTTTTCAAATGACCCAAAAGTCTGCCACCCATCACAACCACTTTTTTTATTACTTTTCTGGTCATGAAATGATTATAAATAAATCTGGATATTTTGAATAAATATAGTCAAAGTGTCAAATAGTTCCTTTGAAGGACGGAAAATTATAATTGCACACATCTCTCTACAAATACAACCAATAATTATAATATTACATGTGGCATTATAAACACGCCACATGTATCTCTAGAATATAGATGACTATTCAAACAAACTAAAATAGTATGTAGAATATACTATATTGAACAAAGTAACTATGTTTGTAAATTGTTTTGCTTAAATGCTTTTACATTGGCAAATATTGCAGGCACAACTACAGGACTTTAGTTTCATATCTTAACAGTGTGTGAGTTACTTAAACAAAAACGATAGCAGCAAGGAAAATTTTCTCTTCATAAATGATCACCCTTGTTTTAAATTAATATATGACTTTCTGTGATGCCACTATTTCATTCTTGTTAACGGAACTTCTTCATAAGCTGGCAAATATCACTGAAAAAAAATTACTCTTCGGTAATTGCATCAAACTATTGATACACATTTCATTTCTCCTCATTCTTTAGAAATATACAACTATGCATTTATCTTAAGCAACTCTTAAACCTAGGGTTGGCCATGACTGGCATTTTAATTTTACCATTGATTTTAGTGTTCCTGTCATGATTAATTTGTTTAATTTGTATAATTTGTCAGATGGATTCACATTGTAAATAGTATTGTAAATGTATAATAAATTGTCTCTTTTCATTTGCAAATAATCATAAACAATCATAACATATAATATCAAAAAAGAGTTAGGTTCATTTTTGTCTTGCAAACATACACTAAGTCTACAAAACAGAAACATTTTTTTTCTGTTTATAATGCTTACAACTACAATCTTTGGTAGTTAACTGTATGCAGGCGCGTACGCAGGGGGGGTGTTTGGGGGGTTAAACCCCCCCCCTTTGGTATTTTTATGTGTGTAAACCCCCCTAAAAAAAACCTAAAACCCCCCCCCCCCCCCCCTTTGGATTTTTTTTTTTTTTTTTTTTTTTTTTAAATTATTAAAAAAAATAAAAAAAATAAAAAAAATTACCTCCATGGCTGACCTAAGAAAGGTGACCTTACCCCCCCCCCCCCCCACTGAGCGACTTTTTGGCCGGCGCAATTTTCAAATTTTCCTGAGTCGTTGCGAAATTTTGGAGCCGATTTTAAACCCCCCCCCCCCCCCCCCCCCCCTTGAAAAAATCCTGCGTACGCCACTGACTGTATGCCTGATTAGCAAAACTATTGACAGAACAAATTCTTGCATCTAAATTCTATTGGAAAAGTACAGTTAACAACTAAATTATTCATATCCCTTGTATGACGTTTTTGTAACTCAAGAATGAACGTTGGACTAGGTGAATTAGGGCCTTTGTTAAATACTTTTAGATGTAAGCTTAAATTCCTCACATTTTCAAGAAACATAAATAATTCTTCATACTTAAAAAAGACAAAAACTTGTATAGGGTATGAATAATTTCGTTATTAACTGTACATGTAGTTACTTTGTGCAATTTTTGTAAATGTATATTCTACTTTAAATGATCACAAATTATTATATGAAACTACCCATTCTAATAAAATACCCTTTAAAAACTGTTGAAAAGCAAAGAAACATTAACTCATTCTCAACAATCATTTAAATCATTTTGTATTTGATTATTTATCCTGTACTAATGTCAATTTTCTGACAATGGTCCAAATTTGTATAATCTTTCAAACTTATCTTGGAGTACTTGGGATTTCTTTAAAAACATGCTTGCAGTTTGCATCTTTAAATCATTACCTATGAAAAAAAGAAGTACTGGAAGAAAGAAATAGCTGTAGATGCAATCTTGTCCATGCATGTTTAAAAGTCAATGTACATGTTTATGTAAACTGAAAGTTATAAGTCTATGCATTTCTAAAAGTCAATGTTTATGTTAATTTAAATTTATAGGTCCATGCACTTCCTCCGAATATCCTGTTTTGTATTTCCACTAATAAGAGATTAAACACTTCTAGTTTCACTTTAAACCAAATTTTCATTTCGAATCAGGTTAGCAGGCTCTGCCTGAAATAGGATGTTGTAAACAAAAATACAGCCTTCCTTGTTCCACTTTCCATTAATCCACATTATATTGAAGTTGCTTCTTTGTAACACACAGCATTAACATTTCCTGTAAATAACTTTTTTTGCAGCCAACATCAAATTCTGTAGAACTTTCACTCAAATATTGTTGTTTTTTTTAAGTCTGTAGAACTTTGCAGAAATCTTGAGTATGTCGCGTATGTCCTACAGTGTATCTATGAAATTTAAACGTTTAACGGTTGGCAGTGACCTAGTTATGCAAGGGAAACCGTTTACTCTCTAGACTTCACTGTCAGACACTGTTGAGTGACTGAATAAATTCTTTTAATTTGACCCGCTTCTTATAATGACCAAAATTAAATTTATCAAGTTTTACTCAGCACATAACCTACATGTAGGACTATGCAGTACAAGGGTCTGAAATCAGACTACCTTCTAGGCGTATTATTCGCAAACGTGTTTTGAAAATACCTACATGTTACAGTCGACATAATTTTACAGAGGCAATTACCAGATCTAATCTTTAAAGAGGAGTTTTTAGTCATATAATCTCTGGTTTACCATAGGATTTACATAATTTTATATTTTTAGCCTGCAAAAGGGACAGACTACCTTCAAGTAATGGGTGAAAAGAGGGACAGCTACAGGGTGTATCAAAATAAAGATACAGACAAGTTATGACAAATTAATCTACTAACATACATCAGAATCTTCTTTAAAAGTAGATATAAATGTATTGTGCAGGGCTTTTTTGACAACCTGTGAGTACCCCAAGTGAGGGGTTGTGTAAAAGTAAAGCATTTCTACAATGTGCATTAAAAAACAAGTGTGCAAGTAATAATTGTCCTTACTCCTCTTGGAGTCAGCCAAACATTTTGAGTTTTACACATAACATGAAAGCAATGGTATGATTCATCCTTAAAGGCTTAGATACAAGGGCACTATTGGCTAAAGTGCACCTCATCATAAAGCTATTCAGGATAGATTATCAGCAATCTCACAACATACATGTAATTATTTAGAATCACTTTTTTTTTTTTTACACACCTTGTACATGATACAACAGCATTCACATAACATAAAATAGAATTAATCCTCCTTCATTTTTGTTCTACACACCTTGTACATGTTTTAAAATCATGTACATCATGAGTATCTTCATACATGTACAAGTTACATCATTGCATTGGCAAAGTGAGGAATCAGTCGTCTATCAAAATGCAGGTGTTCAGTGAAATCATTGCTCACCAATTTAAAGAACGTCTGCTTGGGCAATACGTGAATGTGAATACATAATCCTTGTTCTTAAGAAAAAATATCAACTTGTTCATCATGAATATCAAATAAAATTGAAAATATATTATTTTGCATTTACATTATCTCCAACAAATACATAATACTGCTATCTCTAAAAAGCAAATACCGGTATATCACTTCAAGCAAATAACCACAACACATTCTAAAATATATCTCTTTTCTTTACAAATCTACATTTTTGTACATACATTTATCAAATTAAATAATTTTGCTTTTGTTCAATATTAATGCAATTCAAAATTTACAAAATGACATTGTAAGTACATGTGAATGTAAACATAGAATATACTAGTATGAATAATTTGCTTGTATTTACATGTGAACTGTAGAGACAACTTGTTATGATTGTCTTTAAGGCATTTGTTAAAAAACTTTTGCGTCTAAAATCAAAATAAATCTAGATGTACAACATAACGTACAATTCAAAACACCCATCACTCTTGAACCCACAAACACTGAGGCACATCTAATATAGGCAAACATAATACACCTTAAACAAATATACAAGATGAACTCTGTGAAAGGAGTGAGTGCATATTACAGTTTGTGGATTAGCTAGCTAGCATCGTCATTTTATGTGTCAATTTTAATCACGATTCACATTATGCACAACTCATTATCAAAATATTCAGATCTTGATTATCATTACCATATTGCACAGTACACGAACTTGCATGTAAATATTTTCATGCAATTTGATCCCTCATTTGATATCATAAAGCATTAGAATACCATTTCCTGAATCTTATATTGTTTTTCTCCATTTGCACTTGAAGCCTAGTACTGGAGGACAAATACATGCAAAATATAACTTTTTCTCTACATTGAATGTTGTTCTTTTGCACAGGACTACATTTATGGGTAAGATTACCAGTTAATTCCAGCATTCCAGCATTCCTGGATTTTCGACACAAATGGTGATTGATATAAATTGGATTCCAAGTACTTCTGACCACATCAAGTGTTGAAGTATACAGTTAAAACCCATCTTGCTCTAAGCAGACGATCTGACATTATCAAGTACTCTCCCAAAGATGTAAATTGAAGCTAAAATGTACATCATCTCTATGAATCTTTGGTTATTGAATCCTATATTCAAGGCGCATTCGCTAATGCCATGTTAAAACCGGCTTTGGTTAATCAAGGGGGTGTCTTAAGTGTACAATGTATCTTTTGTATCTTATAACAAATAGACATCAGTGTCATTTTGTATGTAGGACCTCTGTTGTTGTACACAGCTAATTTCTTCACCCCCACTTCACACACACAAAAACCATGGCGGTTTACTCTTAATACTTTACTTTTCCTTGTTCTCTTCATCATCCTTGTTCTCTTTCTCCTCCTCTGGTTTTTCCTCATTTGATTTATCCTCATCTTTTGGCGAGTCTTCATCATCGGCTTTGGGTGTGTCCTCAGCAGGTTCCTCCTCCTGGTTGCTAGGTTCATCGTTGTCAGGGGGAGTGACCTCATCAGAGGGAGGGGCTTCTGGTAAAGTGGGCGGGTCTACATCAAGGGAGACTTCTGTCTGGTTATCCTCCTTATCGACCGCTAGCCACCTGCAAGGAGTGAAAAAGGAAATTCAAAGCCTGTATTTTAAACTGATGTCTACTAAACAGCACCTACATCTTTTGGCAAGACATCAATCCACATTTGGCACTCTTCACCCAGGTGTACGTAAATGGGAACCTAGAAATTGGTGGCTTTATAATAGCAGGGCCCTCAGGAATAACTGCACTGGTGCTGATGAGGCTCTCCTGGGTTATAACAATGACAATGATGACCGCTACTACTACTACTACTTCTTCTACTATTACTACTACTACTACAACTACTACTACTACTAATACTACAACTACTACAACTACTACTATTACTACTACTTCTACTATTACTATACTTTTACTACTACTACTACTACCACTACACTTTTACTACTACTACAACTACTACTACTACTAATAGTATTACTACTACTACTACTTCTACTACTACTTCTACTACTGCTACTTCTACTACTCCAAATACTACCATTAAGTCATAATAAAAAAGGTTGTCATGGCAAAATACTTCCTGCAATCAGAACCAATGCTAAAAGAAATGTTTTTTCAATACAGATACAATTATTTTCTAAGTGCAAATAAAACTGAAAGAAAATTTGCGTTCCTTCCTACCAGATAATGACCTTCCAAAAGCAGTAAAAATGCATTTCACTGTTAAACCGAAGGGCTTGTTAACATGGTTTTGACCAAGGTTTGTCTGAACCTTGGTCTGAAGCGGATTGAAATGTAACATATGACGCACGTAAACCTAGGGCTGTCGACAAACCCCCTTTGTGAATTCGGGCCTGCAAGTCTGCATATTTTGGGGTAAGAAAAAGCGAGTACAAACCTTTGGCAAGTAAAGGACCACATTTTGTCGTCAGTTTGACCCTCAAGATTAGACTCAGAGCTCTTCTCTCTCACCATCACCTTCTCTACATACCAGCCTGATTCTAGAATTGAATTGAATAACAACAAAAAATAACATGGTTAATAATAATAATAATTTGTTCTTTTATAGTGCATATCATGTCTGTTGACATTTCAATGCACTTTACAGTATACATTATATAAAGTATAACACGATCATAAAAGGAAGATGAAACAGAAACATATATAGAAAACAATAAAGTGCTTACAGAGAGAAAAATTACAACATTATTTATCCTTTAATACTATTGATGCGCTAATATGAAAAGATGAGAGTTTAGATATGAATTCCATAAAAATGGTATTATATGAGTAAAAGCCCCATCACCATATGCTTTTATTCTGCTTCTCTTAGCTACAAGGAGGTTTTGAGATGCAGAATGCATACCTGCCAACATTTGAAAATGAGAATTCAGAATTTTTAGCACGGTATGTCTTCGAAAATAAGAAATCTGTACCCTTAACAGGCGTTCGCACATGCAGCGGCAGTGTAACTGGCAATACGCAGTAAATCTGTGCAAAAAAGCGAATACAAATTCGCTGCTCAATCATGCAGCCCTTCAACGCACGCAATATGTGAACTCTCACATCGCGGCATATGATAAAACAAGCTTAATTTGGCTTAAGCAACAACAAATTAAAAAAAAAAAAAAAAAAAAAAAAAATCGAAATTTTGAAAATCCGGGATCTCCCGCATTTTGGGGTCCTAAAAATCCAGAAATGCGGAATATCCCGGAAAATGCGGGAGGGTTGGCAGGTATGAGAATGCAAGGACTTCTTCTTCTTATCGAGTCACTACACAAGTCCCGTCCAGTGGTCCACACAGGCTTTGGCACGGCAATTAATGCAAGGACTTAATGATGATGATGATGATGGCAAGGGAGTTCCTCTAAGCATTGGGTCACATTGTACTGACAATGATCTCTCAATGAAAAACACAATACCTTCTCATACATGGACGTTGAAATCCAGTGAATAATAGAATTTTAGTAAAGCTACATGTATCTGTGGGCAATGCGATTTGTTTAAAGGCAGGCTTTACTACTTCAGCCAGAAGGGATTAGACCACCCAGCGAGCCAGCGAGGTCACTGTGACAGGTGGCTATCTCATTAACTCAGCTCTCATTTAACATAAGAAAAAGAGGTTTATGCAATGCTGTAGATTTCTTACTACGTATACATGTTTTGAAACAATTAAATGTATAAAATAAGCATCTGTACAATTTTAAAACTCATTGCTGTCCAAATGACGAGTTGACCCAGTAATTACAAGATTGTAGAGAGAACAACAAATGAAGGTTAAAGACTGCAAGATCAAACGCAGCCTACAAAACGTGATATCCAGTACAGTGATTATCCAAGTAAATCAACTGAGATACAATTATAAGTATTTCTACAATCGTTTCATTCCTGTCAATATCATCTGATTGAATTCAATTTTTTTTTTCTTCATCAAAATGAAAAGTATATGATCTCAAATAAAATACCTGGTTCTTTGCCCTCATGTCCCACAATGCATTGTGTTATTTCTCCAATGGAAACAGCCTCAATGTAGAATGTATTCACCTGAAAGAATAAAACAGAGTCAGAGACATGTCAGGTCTAATGAAAACACATCAATGTATAGATTTATATATATCTACCGGTACATAGAAAACAGCAGTACACTCTGTATAATAGGATAGCGAAGGAAAAAAACATACAAAAGGTACAGCTATACAGGCAATGTATCAATTCAACAAATCTACTTAGATGTCTTTGTGAACTACATGTAAATGTATCTGTAAACGTAATCTATAAACAATGCCCTTTTGTAATTATATCGGCATATTAAATGATTGAGACATAAATATTCCTTCAACAATTTGAGATGGCTATTGATTTGTTGCGATGAACAAGTGATATACATTGTGCATATGGGCATGAGGAGAAGGTTTTGATGCCCCCTCTTCAATGTCACATTCGTACAACTTCCATGTCAATAGTACACCCCACGTCCTGTTATTTTCTTCCTTCACGTATCCAACAATCTTGGGAAAACTTACAGTTCCTTTCTCAAAGGTCTTCTTGACATCCTCCTCCCAGATGAGCTGCCGTTTTCCTGTATCGCCATGGCTACCGATCAGCTTCACGTATGCCTGACTGGACGTATCACCATCATCCTGCTCACCTGTCTGTACTGATATCTGGTACTTGACAACTGATAATAGGTAGAGGAAAAAAATGGGTTGAACTGAATGGAGACCATCTAATTATTCTCATTATATTTAGGATGTTAGAAGTGGAGAACACTGTGGTTCAAAACAGAACATGAACATGAACAACTTAACTTTAATGGACTTAATGCATGTACATCTACAAAATATATTGCTTAAGTTACGAATAAACAAATTGAATTTGGTTAAGTATGGAATATGGAAAACTTGAGAATGATGAAAGACCAAAGAGCAGCATCTACAATGTACATATATCATCTTGTAGTGAAGACCAATTTCTAGCTCTACCAAAAGTTTCAAATGTCAAATGTAGAGGTCCGTTCTCAGTTTCATTGGACCACTAGTTATACTGTATCAAATTTAACATGGAGTGTAAATGCATTTACATGCAGGTACACATGAACCTTTTTGTTTTACTTCTGAGATGGTTAGAGTCCAAACTAATGATTTACATTGATCAATATTTATAACGTGTTGCCTAGGTTTGCAACCCACTGCACTTAAAAGGTTAAAGAAGAATTTAAGAAAAGGGAAGCCAATAAAAAACATAATGATCCTACCTGGGTCGGGTGGCATATCAGGTCTTATAGTTGGCAGTTCAAGGTATAAAGCCTCCATCCTCTTATCTTCTTTTTCATCCTCTTCTCCTTCCTTCTTCTCTTCCTTTCCATCTTCTTCTCCATCCTTCTTTCCTAACTTTCCATCCTCTTCTCCTTCTTTCTTCTCTTCTTTTCCATCTTCTTCTCCCTCCTTCTTCTCTTTCTCCACATTGGGAGTCGATCTCAGCCATTGGTCCACAAAGAAATGGAATTCCCGGTTTGTGTCTTTATCTTTCATTTTCATCTAATGAAATAAACAGATAGAAGAGGCAAAGTGTATACATTAACCTCCTACTGCTCCCATGCTCAAAACACAATTGAATTCAATCATTGTGTGTTTACTTGTAAGTACACATGTAAATATAAGTTTTAAGTAGATTACTGGTTCCTACAGAAACTTTCCATGACTTTACTTTTTGCCCTTTTCCATGACCAGATACAGTAAGTACCACCTTAGTATGATTGCTGCCTCCAAGTGGCGTATGAATACCAGGAAGTGATATATATTATTTCTTGTTTGTGATAGCCTCCACCTCCCCTTACAATATCCTTGACTTTCCAAAAGAATTTACTTTTACACGACTTCCAAGTTTTTCCATGAATGACCATGGAAGCCTTGGGTAGTGTGCAGTACACTACTGCATACACGTAATTCCAAATATTTTTCACTTAAAATGTTTCAGATTGTCCACCTCATATCATTCTAGCAGGTTCATTTAATAAATTTTTAGCCATCTGTTCTTACATATTTTTTAACCTGTAAAGTTAGTACTTTTAATTACATTCTTTTGAATATCAATGCAAATGAAGATACAAGTACGCTTTATATGATTTTTTAGTAAACATATTTCATGTTCTTTATGCATGCATGTACAATGCACCATGCTCTTTGCATGAGTGTCAAGAATTATGCAAAATCCTGCACCTATCAGTAATGTAAAAGCTGAGATGAAATCATAAGGAGCTCAAAAAGGCAAGAACATTAAAAGCATTGTTTAACAATGTGAAACCTGAGATGCATGGCCCAATGTGCTATCAGTGTCTGTAATATAGTGTAATATTGAACCCCTAAAAAAAAATGCGCTTCAAAATTAACATGAAGTGCCTCACAAAAGTAAAAAAATCTTTGAATGACCGGTTTTACCATATTCATTTTCCCCAATAGACTGTATTGCAAAAAAATGTTAAGAAAACGTTTTTTGAAATTTTGAATTCCAATCATAAATATCTTGATAATCAGACATGCGATTGGCTTGTAAAAAGTCATGGGGTTCCTGACTAACCTAAAGGTTTATAAATGTCATTGCAGCATGAGCTAAATCCAGGATTTTGTTTCAGATTCTGAGACAAAGATACCCAATCCTATCAGGAGAACAGCACATGTGACCTTTCTTACCTTCTTGAGGTACAGCTGTGGTTGAGTTGTGTCTTTGTCATCCAGAGAGAGTCGTATCTTGTAGATGGAACCTATCTCGCCAAGATCAATCTGCAACGGACGAGTAAAAGAAAAATAAGAGAAATATTGCAACAGAAAAAGGATTGTTCTTCATACACAGATGAAGATGACAAACTTCAGTTTACAAGAGACACTGTTCCAATTCTACAATGACACTTAGTTTTATATGTATACATTTTTTCAACTTCAGTTTCAAACCCAATTCCAATTCCATAACGATAAAAAAAAACTTCCTTTCTGGAATATGACCGTGATTCTAACAGTTATTATTCCATACAAGAGTTTTGTTTAAAGGGTCCTTATAGTTGGCCTATTAGACTGTCAGAATTGACAATGATTTGAATTTGATTTAATTTAACTGAATTGAACTGATTTGTATTGAACCAAATTAAACTGCATTGTAGCTCAAGAGCTGAATTACATGGAATTGAATGAATACATACAAAGTGCAGACAAAACAAGTTATAAATAAAAATTGATATGCATAAATATTTACTGGAATATAAGTAGAAAATGGATTAATGAAAAAATTGAATCTGATGGAATGCTTTCACCAAAAAGAATGGATTCACTTACATCAAATTTCTTGGTTATTCCCTGTGGGTACATCAATTTTTCTCCTTCTCCCTCCTCTTTCGTTGGTCCCACATCTACCCCATTCTCAAGTGGAAGAATCCTGCTGGTTCCTTGGCTCCCATAGGCCATCATGGAAAGTAAGGAGTTGCAGCCCATTCCATCCTCAGATCCAGGGGTGAGCCAGAGCGTCCAAGACCCTTTAGAACCAGGTTCTCCTTCTTCATTTGCAGCAGGTGCTTGATTAGCTGTTTTAATAAGAGAAATATGTAGATGAATATAAGATGGTAAAAAGCAGTTTCTCACTGCACAAGGTTAATGACTGGCAAATATAAACTGACATCTTGCCAAAACAAAGTTACATAGATTACTGACATTTAGTGCCTTGTAAACAAAGGAACAAATCTGGTCCATTAACATTTCTCTTTCCAATATTAAAGCCATTTAAAATAAAATCAGGCATGCATCAGAGACTAAATCTGATGACAATCAGAAGGGTGTCAACTGCAGGACTTAATACCCTTTTGGCCCTCACAAATTTAGCTCGATCTCAGATACACTGTAAGTAAAAGTTGATTGGTGAATGGCCAAATGCAGTGTTCTCTTAAAAATGCAAAGTTTTATAGGTCACTACATTTTTCCAAGCCACCATATACTAAAAGATGGGAATCTCTTTGCTTGATCTGTATGAAGTTTAATTTCACCTATTGTATTTTAATTTAAATGCTATAGCTACAATGTATTTTTCATTAATTATTTATAAGTCTTAATGTCAAATTTACTTTGTATTACATTTTTTTGAATTTTTTATGATGAAAATTCCACTCAATTCAACTGTTGAGCTGCCAGGTGGTTTCTAATAAATACCTTTTCAAATCAAATCAAATCAAATCTGAGTTAGAGCATTTGATTTATAGTCCATTAACAATCTTCTAGACCACTGCACTTGATTCAAAGAGCAATTTCATTTACTGCACTCCAAACACTCACCATCCACCAACAGCTCTTGTTCTTGACTTGCATTTGCCGTCATCCCGATCCACATGTTGCAGGGAAGCTCATACTTCTTGGGCGAGTTGGTCGCTGAGACGGTGACGGACTCTGGTAGCCAGGCATCATCTTGTTCATCTGACTCCAGAGAGAGGAGAACTCTCTGGAGGACACCTACGTCTACTGCTTCTAAGATGAAGGTATCCTCCTGGAGGTGAAGAAGGAGAGGAGGAGGATGAGATAAACATGAATGACCTGTGGCACTATTTAACTCCTTGAGATTGATTAACAAGATCATGAGTACAAGTATAATCAGAATTTACATGTAAGTCTAAGAACTTTTGAAGATTTGTGATTGGTGAATCAAGAATGCTTGATTTACTCTTCACTCACATGTAAGAATATCAACCTCCTCCTTCTCTTTATCATTGTCAGGAAACTTATAGTCTTGGCAATTATACATAAACATGTAGCCTACTGAGCCTCTCACACACTTACATCTGGTTGCATCTAATTTTTACAAACATCATCATCAAAGCTCCCCTCACAATTACATTTACTCTGGGTCACGCTTTCTCCATTCCAGGCTTCAATCTCACCGTTCGCCCTAACCCTTACCCTCTCCATAGCCCTCATCTTATCTCTCACCCTTGCATTATCCTCACAATCACTTTTACCATCACCCTAACCCTCATCCTAACCCTCACTGTCACCGCCACCCTCACGCCAACCTTCTCCCTCTCCACTAACATCACAATCTCCCCCTCCCTCATCCTAGCATTAACCCTCTCCCTAATCCTCACCCTCACCCACACCCTTATCCTCACGCTAGCCCTCTCCCTCACCCTCTCCCTCACCCTCACCCTAACCCACACCTTTACCCTCACGCTAGCCCTCTCCCTCACCCTCTCCCTCAACCTCACCATAACCCACACCTTTACCCTCATGCTAGCCCTCTCCCTCACCCTCTCCCTCAACCTCACCATAACCCACACCTTTACCCTCACGCTAGCCCTCTCCCTCACCCTCTCCCTCAACCTCACCATAACCCACACCTTTACCCTCACGCCAGCCCTCTCCCTCACCCTCTCCCTCAACCATAACCCACACCTTTACCCTTATGTTAGCCCTCTCCCTCACCCTCTCCCTCAACCTCACCATAACCCACACCTTTACCCTCATGCTAGCCCTCTCCCTCACCCTCTCCCTCAACCATAACCCACACCTTTACCCTCACGCTAGCCCTCTCCCTCACCCTCTCCCTCACCCTCACCATAACCCACACCTTTACCCTTATGTTAGCCCTCTCCCTCACCCTCTTCCTCAACCTCACCATAACCCACACCTTTACCCTCATGCTAGCCCTCTCCCTCACCCTCTCCCTCAACCATAACCCACACCTTTACCCTCACGCTAGCCCTCTCCCTCACCCTCTCCCTCAACCTCACCATAACCCACACCTTTACCCTTATGTTAGCCCTCTCCCTCACCCTCTCCCTCACCCTCTCCCTAACCCACACCTTTACCCTCACGCTAGCCCTCTCCCTTACCATAACCCACACCTTTACCCTTATGTTAGCCCTCTCCCTCACCCTCTCCCTCACCCTCACCATAACCCACACCTTTACCCTCATGCTAGCCCTCTCCCTCACCCTCTCCCTCAACCTCACCGTAACCCACACCTTTACCCTCACGCTAGCCCTCTCCCTCTCCCTCTCCCTCACCCTTACCCACACCTTTACCCTCACCCTCTCCCTAACCCTAACCCACACCTTTATCCTCACCTTTACCCTTACGCTAGCCCTCTCCCTCACCCTCTCCCTCACCGTAACCCACACCTTTACCCTCACGCTAGCCCTCTCCCTCTCCCTCACTCTCATCGTAACCCACACCTTTACCCTCACGCTAGGCCTCTCCCTAACCCTCACCATCACCCTAACCCTCACCCACAACATTACCCTCACCCGCATCCATACCCCATGGTCACCCTCACCCTCGCCATCACATCAACATCATCAATACCCACATCAACATTAAAATCAACATCTTCTACCTCACCATCACTCTTATTAAACATGGTTACCAAACCTTTCCCCTGTTTAAATGCAGTCTCTCAGTCAGACCAGCTTCCATAGATTTCTTACATTGGTATTTAATCATTCCCACTCCAAACCTACACCAATTTAACATCAAAACCACCATCACCATCACACTGCCATCTACATCAAAGTAGACAAGAACAACATCCACCTCCTCCTTCTCCTCCCCGCTCTCTTCATCATGGTAACCTTACCTGTCCCTGTTGAAAGGCATTCTCTACGTCAGGCTTCCATAGATGTCTTACACCGGTATCCCCTGCATCACCCACCAGCCTGATGTGCACGTTAGCATTGTTCCAAGATCCTGCCTCTTCTTTGGTTTTCGTCTTCACCTCATATTCAACAACTGATCAAGAAACACAATCATAATTGACAAAGTGCTGTAACATCAGGAATTTTCATGAGCGAGAAACTTTCATGAATTTGCAAAAAAAAATTCTTCTCTTTTTTTCATTCAGGGCATCAAGTTTAAGAGTAAAACTACATGAAACAAATGACGCTTGGCTTGTGGTCATGGAATCTTAAGAAAGTAAACCGTATCAGAAAAAAATATGAAAGTTTCTGGAAAAGAGTTGAATCATACCACAAAATTTGAGGGAATTGAATACTTGGCCACCACAAGTAAATCACTCAATTTTCATATAGCAAATTATTTTATCTAACAGTATGTGTAAACATTGTAATGAGAATGTTTGAGCATTTAACAGAAAAAATTATGAATTTGCCAATGAATTTGCAAAGTCTGCATCATTTTATTTTGAAATTTTGAAACAGTTCACTCATGTATCAGACATTCAGAATGGTGACCTGTTTTACATGCATACCTGGTAATGGTTGTTGACCATCTTTCAACGTAGGAACCTCCTTAACTAATGATGATGCACCAGTCTTCTCATCCTCTCCTAGCCTGCAGTCGAACCTGTATGTGAGCTCCTCACCAGTTTCTTTGTCTACCAGACGGATCTGTGAAAAAGGGGGAACCAACGTTAAAATCAAATGCCTGAAAGTTCTGGCAATACACCACAAAGTGTGAATAAAAGTCCAAATGGAGAAAAAAGAAGAAGATTTGTTTACACGATTAACATTCGCTGGTGTCAGTTCTCACAGCTCTCCACCCTTTTTCTCCCTGAGTCTTTATGTTTCATTACCTCTATACTTTTATATCCTAAAGCTTTTCATCCGAAAAATCAAATGGCATCAATATATATTATAGGTCACTTCATTTTCAGCAGATTTCAGCCTATATCACAGCAAATTAGAAAAATATTACATATTAACTAGAACTGGTGGCCTGACTATGAGATGAAGGCATTCTTCCAGAAACTTGGGTAAAGGTAATATAAATATTCAAACAATATCACTGCATATCAGAATTAGTGTAAGTGTTTTTATATCGAAACCTGTTGTGTTTTATAGCCAGCTGCAGGACTTAGTTTGATATTGCTAGTACATGCTTGTCCCTAAGAATAAATGTGACTTGAAAATAAGTGAAAAATCGTGTATCCTACACAGCTTTTACTATGTAAAATTTAAAAATTTGTCTTTAATATGCATCTCTTGTATTTAATTGTTTATTTCTTTGCTTGTTTGTTGACATGATTTGTAAATGTTTTTAATGCGTGTTGACCCCTTTGAAAACCAACTTAAGTTGAAAGGGTAATCCACCCCACATGTGGAAATAAATTAATTTTTTAAAAAAATTAAAAAAAATAAAATATGTATATGTTTTTGTAAAGATGTTGATGACCTGTGTCTCCATAGTACTCACTGTATCTATGTAAATGAGCTGTCCTCCTCCTGCGTTATCATGCTCCAGTCTGATCTTTGAGATGCTCTTGATATCTTCCATCTTCATCTGAAAGGAGGTAAAGCAACAGAAAAAAAGAAGGATGGTAACTTGGTAGCTTTACTTAAAGAAATAGTAGTAATCAACTTTTTTCCTGAATTCTATCAATGGTACTAAAGGATATTTTACTCTGTTTTAGACCTGTTTATAGCTATTACAGTGATTCACTTTCATACATTTTGGAAGTGGTCTGGATTTGTAAAAGTTTTGTACTTGGAATAGTCCACTCACAAATAATTACATCTAAATCACAACACTTAAATTTTCAAAATTGCATAAGTGTTTTGACAGGAGAATGACTGTCATCATTAACAATTTGTGAATGATTCATGTTGCAAAATATTTGTGGGTTTTCACTTAGTCATAATGCAATTGAGAAGGTCACAAAATCAATGAACTGTAGCATTTTTGTTAATTAGAATACCTTTTTTTATTGTTGCTGTAATGGCGAGTCATGGTTTTTAGAATATAAACTGTCAAATATTAAATGAGAGAATGGATATAGGTTCAATATCAGTAGAAACAGCGCATAAAACAATTGAAATAATGGATCTTACTGAGCTCTCTATTTCTTGTTCTGGAGTGAAGTCATCATCTAGAACGATCTGATGCGGTCTTGATGCGGTGATACCATCATAGACGGTCAGGTACAGATTGGCTTTGAACAAGGTCGGAGAATCTTCACTGACCTTCATGAACACTGTCCAGTTACCCTCTGGAAAAACAGACACAACTTTCAGTGAGCAAAGGAATACGTATAACACTTCCAAGGGCTATGACATTAAAGTTGCTCATGCGTGGGTAAATAGAGGGCAGCATGCTGAGCCACCAGGTTTTACGCCCCCGTGCGTACTATTGTCCCCTTATGTGTACGTCCGTACGGGAGCGTAATACCCGTTGGCTCAGTGTTCGCCAAGTTGTCTACTTGGTACACAACCAATGACCAAGAACAATAAACATCAATTAAAAACAAATTCTCTAAAGAATATAGAACTCTTATTTACATGTACCTGTACAATTGTAGATGCTTTTCAAAAATAACTATCTGTGTGTCAATATGAGAACAAATTCGACTTTTAACCCTATTTCTTAACATATGTACAAGCAAATGAGAATTGGAGATGGTAAAACAAACCAAAAAGTCATAGACATACACTACCAATACATGTACATTACCCTAACAACGTTAGCCTAGGAGAATACTTACGTGATTCTGGCTTGGCATCGTCCTGAGTCTCATCGCTTTCTTTGGTTGATTGCTTGCCTGTTATAAGAGAAAAGAAAGTAGATTTCTAGATTAATGTCAAACTTCTTGGAAAACTGTTACAAATGTGAGATTCTTATTTGTGAACCAATGAGTTATCTGAGATATAACTGATTGGAAGGAAATGTTTTTTAATAAATGACATACATATAGACAGTATTCAGAAACTGTTCAAACTTCATCTGACATACATGTAGCTAAAAATGACAGATTTCCGGAATGCATGACATTATTTCCAACAACAATTGCTCCAAAAATAGATTTTACAAATTCCAAAGTCCATGTGATGCAAACCCAACTGTAACCGTAACAACCTAAAACACAATTTCAACACGAGTAAACCAAATACATTCTCAACCCTAACTCTACCTCTTTGACAGAATAAAAACCTGAAGCAAATATCAACTAGAGCAAAATATCCGTGGCTGACACCCAGTAAATAAGATTGTGACTGTGCCATGGACTAGTGATTGCCTGGTGGTGGAGTCGGAAGCTGTAGATGGCAGGTTCAAAGATTTTGTTCAGACTAGTTTTTCAATTACAGATCGATCAATTGATCTTATTTACTGGGTGTAAGCCACAAATATGTTTAAACATTTGAAATTTCTCCCAGTAAGCAAATATCGGTAGAGCATACATTAGATATCAGATGATTGAATTCTCACCTATAGGTTTGAGTTGTCTGTGTGTCTTCTTATCACCAATGTGATCATCTAGCCAGTTATTAACAGGGAAGAGGTATGCAGTGTCTGATTCCTCCCCTTCTCTCAACGTCACATGATCTAGGTATATTCCAGCACCTGACATTTACAAGAAAAACACAAACAGAAAACAGACAAATTATTGATACAGAATACTCTCATTGGTTGGGGTAACTATAACATGTAGTTCAAGCTTCAACCAACCTAAACATTTGGTAAGCAAGCTTTCGTCCACTCCTGTGGACTCTCTCAAGCCAAGATGAATTATCAAAATCTCGGTGAAAATATACATATGTACATGTACATTCAAAAGAAGAATACTTTAATTCAATATTTTTCAAAATGCAAGCTTCATATTTGAACATACTTGTATGTTTTTTAATATGATGTTGCCGTGCAAAATCATTTATAAATATCTATGACAAGACTTTTGAGTCTTTTGAAAAGTATAAGGATAAACTAGAAATGTTTTTGGGTAACACCATGAACTATGAACAGAACAAAGAATCAAAAGACTTACTTCTGGAGTGAAACATATCAATCCAAATGAGATCTCAGTAGAGATGAAGTGAAATGTTAAAAAGGAGGGAGATGTGATTTGGTCTAGCAGCACGTTCACTTGGTCTTTACCTACAAACTGAATCGGGCGACCCCGGTTCTAAACTGAGTCACGTCTTTTGAATGGTGACGTTAAAGGTCGGTCCCCAGACGTAAATAATAATATCTGATTGATATACGTTTGTAAAAACCCAATTACACACACACCAGAGGGTGATGTGAAAGGGGTAGGGGTACCACTGCGAACCCATTATATAATTGCAGGTCCATGGATTTAAAATGAGAGCCAGAGAGAAACAAATCAGCTTACCGTAACCCTTTGCATCATGGCCTATCTCCATCGTGGTGACTTCACCTAAAGATACTGCTTCTACCTTGAAAGTATCCACCTAAAGTAGCAAGAAGAATTACAGGACATGATCGGTATCATGCTTACAGCTATTCCTATTAAAATTACAGCTAAAAGCACTTAAAGTATTTGTATAATTTATCAAGCTCATGTGGAGCATATGCACCTGCACATAAAGACCACTTTCTTGTCTCCTGTAAGTAGTCTTTCTATACAGGTTTCCTGCTGAACTTTGAAACAAACTACCTTTACACATGTCAAAAACTGTCAGACTGTCAACCAATTCAAAACTTGTCTTAAGACACATTTTTTCAAAATTGCTTTTGATGTATATCTCATATGTATTGTAATTTGTAGGTCTATTCATAATTTTTGTTTTGTTTAATATGTAATTGTTTATCATTGTATTTTGTTTTTATAGCGCTTAGAGACTTTGATGGTAAGCGCTTTATAAGCACTGTGTTTATTATTATTATATTACTAAATCCTTGCATCTCACCTGATTCTGAATGAATTTGTCCTCCTTATCCTGTGAGTGGTAGAGAACCCTTTTACCCGTGTCTCCATTCTCCCCATGTAGGATCACCCACAGAGGGGCGTCGGTATAGGCCGCCCATCGGTCACCGGTATGGACAGAGATGTAGTACACCTCAACTGAAGGAGATGGAAGAGATAAAATGAACGTGAGAGAATTGACAAGTAGAAGTGGAGAGACAGAGGGAGACAGAGGGAGGGAGAGAGAGGGATTCTGGTTGATGAAATTAGAGAAGAAAGCAATGAATAATGAAAACAATAGTGGGAGAAAGATGACATACAAGTTTTGGGGTACATGTGTAAGATTTTGTCAAGTAATCACTTATTGCTTTGTTCTTAAATTGTATTCATGTCTGTGTGTGTATTTTTCAAAGATTCTGTAACTATTTTCGTACCTGGTAGAGGTTCCTGGTCTTCTCTCTTGACCGGTAGCTCTCTGAAGATATCTTGGTCATCTTGACCTCTGTCCATCCATCGGTCAAAAGCAAAGTCCAGTTTCTCTTTGGTGTGCTTGTCCTCCATGTGGACCTTGAATACAGAAAGGAAATAATACAGTAGACCGTGTTTATAAACCTGTTGACAACTGAATTATCTCATTCCCATAGGCTTAATACAGGGGCCACCAGATTCCAGTAGACATTGGGTTAAGAGGCCCTGTTTAATATTTTTTGCAAATGAGAATGAAAATGGTTATACAGTCTGTATTACACAAAATCAAACATCAAAATTGTACAGAGTTATGATTTTAACCCCTGATATTCTAGGTTTAAATTGTTAACAATGATCTCTCTTCCAATTACAATTCAAATTGGAAAACTATTAAGTTTTGCAAAAACATTCATGGAAATTTGATGGAAAAAAAATGACAAATGAATGTATGTACCTCTTTCAGATGCCAACCTTCCCATGATTCATTGTCATGATATCCGATCCGAATCTTGTAGATGTCTCCTATGTAGCCCACTTGGATCTGTATACAGTGATAAGGCATATGTCAAATTGAATAGATTGCTTGGTGGGTTTTAATATTAGTAATCAAATTGAACGTAAACACTCCGCATTAACACACAGAAATCAAATAGCCAGGGCCCTATATTCATCAAACCTTACTAAATTAGTTGTCAACTGATCACATAGGTTATTGCACATATTTATTTGACAATTAGGTCTAGTAAGGTTTGATAAATATAGGCTAGGTCTACATGCATCCTCTTATTCCATATGCTATTTTTTTCCTTTGTAAAAGTACATGTATATACAACTAAATGTAATTGACCAACAAATAAAAACACATGTAATAATAATAACAATAACTACTACAATAAAAATTAAAAAAGGAGAGGGGTAAGTAGAAGAAGAAAAAAGAAAGAGAAAATAAAGGAAGGAGAAGGAGAGAATAAGGAGAAATAGAAGAATAAAAAGAACAGTAAGAGAAAGGAGAAAAACAGAAGGAGAAGAAAAGAAAGAAGAAAAGAAAGACTGAGAGGGAGAAGAAGGAAAAGGAGGAAGAGAAGAACAAAAGGAAGAAGGAGAAGAAACAGAAGAAGAAGAGGAAGAAGAAGAAGAAGAAGATGAAGAAAAGAAAGAAGAAAAAGAAGATGAAGAAAAAAAGGAAAGAAGGAGAAGCAGAAGCAGAAGCAGAAGAAGGAGGAGAAGGAAAAGAAGGAGAAGAAGAAAACAAATAACAGAAAGAAGAAGAAAAACAGGAAGAGGAAGAAGAAACAGAAGAAGAAAAAGAAGAAGGAGAAAGAGGAGAAGGAGTAGAAGAAGAAAAAGAAGAAGGAGAAGGAGAAGGAGAAGAAGGAGAAGGAGAAGAAGGAGAAGGAGAAGAAGGAGAAGGCGAAGAAGGAGAAGGAGAAGAAGGAAAAGGAGGAAGAGAAGAAGAAGAACAATATAATCATGTTAACTTACATCAAAGCTCTCTGTCTTGCCTGGCTCAAAGCATCCATCCTCTTTCCTCTCCTTGTTGAGTAGGAGGGGATCAGACTTGCCATCCTTCCCATAAACCACCAGCTCCACCAAGGCATTGTGGGAAGGCTTAGAATCCTCATGAGTAACCACGGTTACCGTCCACTCACCCTCTGTTAAACATTGCAAGAACGTTTTACTTCAGATTAATCTACTCTCCTTTCTTTTAAGTTATATACATATTCTCCTGACGACGGAAAGTCAACCTGTTCGAAACGTTGAGCCCCTTCTACTACCCATTCTCTCCACCCAGCACTTTAGTTCTCTTTAGAACTATAAATTCAAAGAAAGATTACCAACAGTCCTTTTCAGGACTACCGGTACACACACTCAAGAAAGAAAGATAACCGACGGTCCTTTTCAGGACTCCCCAATCCCCAAACCTACCTAACATATACATGTAGTAAAAAAAAAAAAGCTACAAACATGTAAATTAAGTTCTTCTTTTTGTGATGTATCACTTGTATTAAATGTACATGAAAGTTTTGTTCACATGGTTATATAAAATTAAATGTGTTGTCTACATACAGTACATGTTTAACATCATTTCATCAAAGAATGTACCTGTAGATTCTTACATATATCTTCAGGCAAGAAATGTCTACAAATGTGTACTGTAAACAGGGTTCAAGAGCTGATCATTCAAAATAACATTTTCATGGATGAAACAGATGGCAAAATCTCAATACTGAAGTCTTTAGAGTATTTTGTCAGCATAAAGACTTATAAATGTCTACTTACCAGTTTCTTTGATATCAGGCTCTGAAAATACAATTTAAAAAGGGAAAGAGAGAGTGACAAAATAAATAAAGACATTTGTGACAGATAAAAGAACTTTCCTTGCATAGTCAGGCACTCAATTTCATACAAAGTGAACAACATCACTTCAATTATAAGGAAATGCTTCTAGCGAAATATACTGCACATAATCAAACCTTGCGTAATTCTCGGCAGTGCTACAAACAGAACATCCATGTTCATTTAGATATTTCAAAGGCAGTACAAAAACATGCTCCATCTTTGGATCCAGGTAACAAAACTTTACCCTAACCCTGACAATAAACCTAACCCTATCTCTACTCACTAGTCTTCTCCATTGCCTACACCATCTCACTCGTTGCACCATCCATTAAAGTCCAGATCCTAACTATGTGATCCGTCTCTGGGTCAAGGTCAAAGAAATTGACCCTAACCTTATCTCGATCTACTCACTAGTCTTTGTCTGCATCATCGAGTAAGGTCCTAATCATAATCATGTGATCTGATTCTAGGTTGGGTTCAAAGAATTTTATCCTAACCCTAACCATATCTCTACTCACTAGTCTTGTCTGTTAGCTCCACCATCTCACTCTCTACACCATCCAATAAGGTCCAGATCCTAACTACTTGATCCGTCTCTGGGTCAAGGTCAAAGAACTTTACCCTAACCCTAACCCTATCTCTACTCACTAGTCTTCTCCATTGCCTACACCATCTCACTCTCTACACCATCCAATAAGGTCCAGATCCTAACTACTTGATCCGTCTCTGGGTCAAGGCCAAAGAACTTTACCCTAATCCTAACCCTATCTCTACTCACTAGTCTTGTCTGTTAGCTCCACCACCTCACTCTCCACACCATCCGATAAAGTCCAGATCCTAACAACATGCTCCATCTCTGGATCAAGGTCAAAGAACTTTGCCGTGAAGACATCAGCTCTGACCTGCTTCGTAACCCCTAGTGGTTGGTTGGCCGCTGGGTCATCCTTGTTTCCTTTCTCTTTCTCTGATTGGTCAGTTCCTGGAAAATGGGAGTTACAGTTATATATGAGCCTGAGGAGTAGGTGTACATTTGTATATAGTTCTGGGCCCCTTTCTTAAAAAAAAGTTGCAATAGGTAACAAATAATTTGCAAAAGATATCAATTGCATCTCTTAAATAGTACAGAGATGCGGTTGATATCAATTGTGAATTATTAGTAGTTAATCTAAACTCATTTATAAGGACATGTTAATGCACAAACAAACATGAACAAATGCACCAAGATAATAATACATTCATTATTATGATACACTGTCACTCTGATGCAGTTGAAGAATACATGCAGAGTAAATGGAGAAAAAATTTCATCTATGCTATAAACTAAAAACAACCGAGGTTTGCATAAAACTTATTTTCACAACCATTCCGAAGTGAAATTTGAACATCTTGAAGTTTACATGTTCATTATTTGTCCTTTGTATATGGCTTGGTAACTGCAATAAATTAAATGGTTTTTGGCATGACAATTTTTTAATTTCTTATGAAACACCGACATGATAAAACAGACATAATTTTTTCTCTTTTTTTGTTACCTTCTTTCTCCTTATTCTCCTTCTCCTTTTCCACCTCTTCCTTTGTGAGACATGTCACCTTGTATCCCGTCATCGTTCCTTCCTCAGGTTTCTTCCAGCTAACTGCAATGGTTGTTGCTTCACACTCTAGCTTGGCTTCCACCACAGGATGGGGTCCTAGAAAGGGAATTGAGTTAAGAAAGTGAGTAATGCAGGTTGATGGTAAAGTGTTTAGAATTTTTTTTTATAGAGGACTTATCACCAAAATATGTTTTGCTCTGTGCGTGTATGTATAGGTTTGACGCTGATATCCTAAATGTGTATTTACATCATCACCATTGGTTTCAGCCTAAAAAAATTAGGTTGACTTTGACCACAGGGTGGGGGCCCTGGAATGTGAATACAGTTTAAACTTGTAAGCTGATCTTCTTCTTTCGTATGAGGCAGCAGAATATAAAATGAAAATATTATTAACAAAAAGAAATTTAATATAACAGTGATCACAAAAAAAAACTTTCTGGTGGCCATGACATTGCAAGTTGATAGGATGTCTGAAGCTAATTGATAATAATTGACATTTTATGAAGGATGAATGTTTAAAACAACTCTTTGGGGGTTGAATGTATATTTTGGCAAGTGCAAGGTGGTCATTTGCTCTTCCATATCACCAAGAACGATACAAAATAAACAGAAACAAACATTAAAAAGAGCAGTTTTCCTTGTTTTCTTGCTACATGTACATGTGTTTGGTCTCACTCTAGTACTTGACAACTTAATAATCAATTATATTAGGGAAAAAAATGATATCAGTTGTGAATGAGGCATGGTACTCAATGCTAACTATGCATGTCTATGCATTGAAAAGAGTGCGCAAAGAGGAAAAGTACTTGAGTTAAAGTGAAAACAAAATACACACACACATGAAATACAACCTACGAAGAAAGCAATAAATAATTACTTGAAAAAAGCTTACAATGTACCCCAAAAGTTGTATATCATTTTTTTCCCCACTGTTGTTTTCATTATTCATTGCTTTCTTCTCTAACTTCTAATAGCAAGCTTGGCACTCTCTTTATTCTTTGATGCACATGTATAATCTACATCTATAAAACTACACAACAATTGTCTTTGGATAAAAATGCAAGTGATTATAATAAAGTTGTGTACATGTATATCAAGTGATAGAAAACAACAAAACATAAAGGGAAAAAACAAAAGAGAAGAATATCATGTGAGAATTGCATGTATGCTAGAGGCTAAGAAGGACAAAAAAGTTAAATAGCTTTTTCTAAAATAAAATGTATGATTACAAAGCATGTTGATCTGTTGTAGAGCTAGAAAATAAAGGTTGGGTGAAAACAGATATTCTCCTTAATAGACCAAATATAACCAGACCAAATATTGACCACATATAATTGTTCATTTCAAAATGATGAAACATGAAATCTTAAACCTTGTACATAATGAGTAATGGTTAAAATATAAAAATGCATTGGACTAAAAACTGGAACTGAAATTTTTTTATAAAAAAGCTACGCAGATTAAAAAAGCAAAAACAATCAAGAGTATATGAAGGCATAAGGAAAAGTTCTGGAGGAAATTTGAAAAACATTACATAAAGAACAGTGTAAATTTGATTCAAATTTCAATAAGGAATACAAATACATGTAAAAGTCAAACAATAATGAGGCTGAAATCTTGTTTTAGAATCTAGTTCTTTTTCTTTGAAAACTACTGCCCTGCACAGCTATAGTACTTCACAAGAAACTACCAAAGAGCGAATACTTTCAGGACGTGTGCAGACATGTATACAATATTGCCATGAAAGCGAGACAGCATGTGCCTCAGAAATATATGCGTGTATAGATGAGAGAAGAATGACATGAGCGAAAGTGAAGTGAAGATGCTGTCAGTTGCATGCAATCTTTGACTCACTCTCCGGCTCCAAAGTCTGTGCCTCCAACGTGGCCTGCTCGCTCTCTAGCTGACCGTTGATTGTGATGATGGTGATGGTGTAGGCGGTCTTGGCCCTCAGTCCAGAGATGGTCAAACTCGTCTTGTCGGCGTCCACAATCCTGACCTCTTCTTCGTCTGACCCTGACTTGTAACCTTCATCGCCAGCCGTAGACTCACTGACCTGGTCATGTGAGCCATCATGTGAGCCATCACCTGATCCGTCTCCCGATTGTCCACTGTCGTTTGAATCAGCAGTAGAATCCTGGTTAGCTTCTGCGTTATCTTTTCCATCTTTGGTTTCATCCTTAGCATCTGTGTCACCTGATTCAGCTCTTGGGTCATGTGACTGATCTACTGATTCACTTTCAGGTGTTTTGTCTTCCTTGTTTTCCTCCCCTGATTCTGAACTTTTATCTCTTGAATCCTTTTCGGGGTCATCAGACTTTTCTTTGTGATCGGCGGGATCATCGTCTGCTTCCTTGTCCTGATCGACAAGCTTGTCATCACTGTCTTTTCCCTGATCGTCTGTTTTGTCCTTCTTTCCATCATCAGACTTCTTCTTAGCCGTTCCTTCTTGGCCCTCTTGAGCTTCCTCAATGGCCTTGTTATCAGCCTGGTCACCTGACTTCCCTTCTTGGTCACCTGACTTCTCTTCTTGGTCACCTGACTTCTCTCCCTGATCACCTGACTTATCACTTGATTCCTTATCTCCATTGGTCTTCATCCCATCCTCATCTTCGCGCTTCTCCCTCCTGTCCTCTTTCTCTGCATCGTCCTGCTCCCCGGTCTCACTGTCAGCCTTGAGATCACCTGACTGTTCTTGGTCACCTGATGCTTCATCAGTCTGATCAGGTGACTGCCCCTGGGGTGTGCATGTGATCTTGTATCCAGTGACTGGACCTTCTGGTTTGGTCCACGAGACCGAGATTGATTTGATGGAGCATTCAGTGCTCAGATTCTCTGGAGGTTTGGGATCTGTAAAGAGAAAAGAACATTGCAGACATGGTTATACAGGGCACTAACAATCCAAATGTGCACAATGAGATACAGAAGTCTGTGAGCTTCATGTTCTCTTTAATGGAAAAAAAAAAAATCTTGCAAGGCATCTATGTACTCTACTTTTCAGGTCAGTGGCAAGTGCTTGCAATACGGAATGGTTGTTTAGACGTGCATGTGCATGTTCATTTTAAAGACAGCTTTAGGGACATATGTAAACAGTAAACTTAGGTAATTTTCCATTTATGATGATGGAACCTTTACAAAATTTTACATCTACATAAGTGCATATCCATATTTGCATATCAACTTACAATCCAAGACTGTTGTTTTTCCTTCAATGGTGACCCCTTCACTCTCTCTCTCTCCATCCAGAGTCACAATGGTAGCAGTGTACTCTACCCCAGACTCCAACCCTGAGAAGGTAACACCAGTCTCCTCTGCCTCCACCTCTCTGATTTCTGGCTCAGCAATGCCCTCCTTCGTAGGAGTCGGAGGATTGCCATTGTCCTCCTTAACAGGAAGATGAGGGTTGTCCTTGTCCTCCTCTTTAGTAGCAGAAGGACGAGGGTTGTCATCGTTCTCCTTAGTGGAAGGATTAGGGTTGCCATCGTTCTCCTTAGTGGAAGGATTAGGGTTGCCATCGTCCTCCTTAGCAGGATGATTAGGGTCATCAACCTTCTCCTTAGTGGAAGGATTAGGGTTGTCATTAACCTCCTTAGCAAGAGGATGAGGGTCGTCATCGTCCTCCTTAGCGGGAGGGTTAGGGTAACCATCGTTCGCCTTCTCATCCTCGACATCAACAACCACCTTGGTCAGGGTGACCCTGTAGCCAGTCCTTGGACCATCCGGATGTTGCCATGACAATGTGATGACATCATGGGTCGGCTCAATCTCCGGATCTACAACTGGGCTAGGTGCTAACGAGACCATTCATTGCATTTGTTAGTAGTGAATATTACACATCAATGGAAACCTGTGCGTCAGTTACTCATACCACACCAATTCAGGGTTTGTATTAATGAAGAAATTATTGCACTGTGCTTGGATATCTACATTTCATGGGTTAATCTTGAATACACATATACTCTGACGACTCTGGTGACTGTTGAAATGGCAAAGCTGTTCCATAAAAAGTTGCAGTTAAATTAAAAGAAGTTATATGCTCCTTTATTCAACTGACTATACAAAGTGTCATGTACATTACTGCAGTCTATTAGACTACAAGTACAAGACTGCCAATTTTGTAAATGTGGGCAACGTTTCACAAAACCATTATACACCAGTACATGTAGGTACAAGTTCGGTGACATCCCATTAAAATAAGGGTATTAAAATTAACGTATGTTTCAATGGGATGTCAGTGAACTTGTACTTTATGATGGTTTCATGAAACAATTAATGCCATGGATGCTAGAAGCTGGTATGCAATACGATAGGCAGTTAATAATATATTCGTTATTAGCAGAAGAAATATGAGGTGTAAGATTAGTTTTGTAATTAGTCAGTGCTCTTTCCAACCTGGCGTTTTCTTTTTCTTCTTTGATTTAAAGTTCTTATATTTCTTCTGGATTGTTCTTGCGGCTTCATCCTCGTCCATCTGATTTTTGGGAGCTTGCAAAAATTATGGAAGGTGTATTCATAATAAGTGGATATTCATGTACATGTATTGGTCCAATGAGGTCAATGATACAGTTATGGGATTTCTTCAAGGGAGACATACTGAATGATTGTAAATGTACATGATAAGAAAGATACACGACCTCGCGGTGCCTAACAACTCGTCTGCCCTTTTCATTTCCCTATATTTTTCCATTTCCTTGTTGATTTTTGTTGTGCAATATTATTCCTGCTTTGTACATTATTGCATTTCATCTAACCAATTTTCAATGTATTGTATTTTAATGTAGATTTTTAATCTTTTGTAAATTCAATTTGTTTCAGGCCTTGGCTGCTATTTTGAATGTATGTTTTTCAATCAATTAACCAGTTCCAATCAAATCAAATCTTTCACAAATTGAAGATCATATAATGGATGTTTTTGGATAAAACTTACTTGTTGTTGCTTCTGTTTTAGCAGGTTCACTACACTCTGGTCCAGCTAAAGCACAAATGGTGATGTCATAAGGATGACTAGGCTTGAGACCAGTCACTTCAAGACTTGTTTCATCAGCTCCAACCTCCTTCGATCCCTCGTCTTCCTTATTCTCCTTCTTATCATCCTCCTTCTCTTTCTTCTTGTCATCCTCCTTCTCTTTCTTCTTATCATCCTTCTTCTTCTTAGGATCTGCCAGCAGAAAAAAAAGCTACAGTTAGATTCATTCTTCTGCTTTCTTACATTTACGTGCACATACAGGTAGGTCATGTTACATGCTTGTGTACTTTACATTTATCTATCTACAGTATTTAATGCAGGGGGCACATGACCCCATCCCTTCCCCACCCCTTTCCTCTCCTCTTTCCACTGAGGACAGACTTGCTGTTATTCTGTTACTTGTTTGTCATATGATGATGTATAATTATATTTAATACACAATATCACACTAACATGCAAGTACACATTGGCATGCAAAATTGTTTGATTACTGCATTTTCTGTACGTCGACAACTCTCACTTGTACAAAATAATTAACTGTTGTATATGATTTACCATCTTTCTATGTGATATTTACCTGTAATGCCATCTACATGCAAATGAACATCTGTAGTCTACATGTACTTATGGAAAATAATAGAACCCATGGGGAATACAATGTACACTCATAACAAATTAAACGTGGGAAAAAATCAAATGGAACTACATGTATTATGATGAGAACTCTAGCAGAAACATGTTGACTCTAACAATCTCAAATATAAGGGGAAGCATATAATGTATTAAATTTTTAAAAGAGATTATGGAACAACTTCACAAAATATTGAGTTGGTAAAAAGGGAAGGTTATTATAAAAGAGATAAAAACAAAAGGAAAGCAGGAGACAGAGAATAAAGAGGGAAAAAAATAAAATAATACTAAATTAAGTAGGAGGATATGTTATACAAAATAGAAATGAAATAAAAGGAAATAATGAAAAGAAAAGTAGGCGAAACAGAACTGAAACAAATAAGAAAAGGAAATGAAGAAAAAAAAAGGAAAATAGATAAATGAATAAAAAAAGGGCTATAATTAGACAATGAAACAGACCAGGAAGGAGAAAAAAGCGGAGAGAAAAAAATGATGTGTGTTAGTAGAGTAAGTCAAAGGATACTGTAAGAGTAAAAGAGAAAAAATAAGAATGCATGTACATCAATTCCATGTACACACAGTATTAGCCAGGAGGAAAAGGGAATGAACGAAAAAGGGAATGAACAAAAAAGGGAATCGAGAAAGGGAGGAAATACAGAAAGATAAACGAAGGGCAAAAAATGATAAACATGCATAAATGCATGAACAATGTTCTTTCAATTCAAACACAATGTGATAAAATGGAGATAATGTTGGTACCACAGCAAATAAATTAAGAAGGTTGATTATTACAGAAGAATGGATGAATGAATTTTTGATTAAAGATCTATGAAATTGACAGGAAAAGGAGGAAAACATGGAGAAAACAATAAGAAGCTATGGTTATAAAAAAAAAAAAAAATATGTTCTCAAAACGGGACAGTAGACCGTTTTCATAATCTAATCAAATTTAATGCATAAGTCTTTATTAGGTACATTTTACAAATCATTTTATTCACCTGCTATGAATTATTGTATTGCAATAGTCATAATGCGAAATGCAAATATTAATTATTGCTACATGTATGACGGACATACTGTACCTTATGGCTTGTCCTACCTAACAACACATAATGTATGCAACTCGCATTCTGACTCTTGAAATACAATAATTCATAGCATGTGAATAAAATGATTTGTAACGTGGCACTTATGCATGATGCATGGCAAAGGCTTATGCATTAAATTTGATTACATTACAAAAATGGCCTATTGAGTAAAGAAAAGATAAAAATGAACTATGAACTATAAAAATTTATGAACCTATGTTAGGCAAATTAATGTACTTCATATGACATAGATGATAGTGATGGAGCACACAGTTATTCTAAATAGAAACACAATCAAATGAATTGCTAATGACAAACTGATTTAAAGCAATCATGCTCTCTTCTGGTCTAACTCCTGGTCTAACTTCACACTACCTGTACCTGGCTTCGCTGGTCCTTTCTTCATCTTAAACTTCTTAAACTGCTGCTGTATTTTCAGAGCAGCTTTTTCAGTTTCGGGATCTTCCAAATCAATATCGATCTCTTCTGATAGCATGTGTGGTTCACAGAAAATATGCATTAGTGATGAAAGTGAGCTTAAAGGTAATACAAAGTTTTGGTATGGGGTCATGAATTTGGTTCAAATGAACATATTGGAAGCATATGCGATCCTACAATATTCAGTGATCGTTGGCGCAGTTGAAATCGAGTGTAAAGTGATGAAATTGTAATAATAAACTGTTTATGTTGTATAGCTCCCTCTCAAGGTCAATATATTAATTTAGCTATAAAACAATGTTTCTTGACTAATATCGACTGATTGGCTATTCCCGTTTGGAAATTATATATCACAACTACATATTCTGAGATGTGCATGGTCGCAGCTACCATTGTATGGTCGTAGGCGCTATTTGAAATTTATCAAAATTTACCGGGAGCACCGGTAAATTTTTATATTCAATTTATCTCGAAAGCAGAAATGTTTTAGGGGCTAAATTTTCTAGTGCTTATAATACATCCACAGGGGCATCCAAATATATCAAAATTGTACAGAATCACTATCCAGCCAATTTTCAAAATTTCCCAAAACTTTGTATTACCTTTAATAGCCAGAGGCAGTCGTAAAAAGGATAGCAATTCAAACTTTCACCAAAAAGTTATAGTGATCATACGCAGAAAGTTTAGGAAAAAAATAATATACACTATACATTGTATGTGCCTGAGAAATATCACATAAGTAAGGAGAATTCTTGAAATTTTTTCGGTCATTGACGTCAACTCAAATTACAAAATTTGCATCAAACTGATTGTGATGTAAGTTTCAACTATAACTGTGAATTCCATTTTACTGCACACAAAATTTGTTCATCATGTTTTTCCCTTTTTAGCCACAGGGACTCTTTATGGATTAGGTATTGAAATAATTGATTTCCTTGCACCACTTTCTACACATTTCATTCATTTAGTAAAACTATACACGTATCTCTTTTCACAAATGTACAGTAGTTGCTCTAAAACACTTCCCATGTAACAACCCCAAAAAGACATGATCACAGAATGTACAGGGTGTATATGTCAATTTGAAATGACACAGGTGAGATTATTTAGAATGAAAAAAATTCTTCCATGAAAATGCCAAATACTTTAACGATGACATTTCTCAATCTGTCGATACTGTGACTGTCCTTCTTTTATTCAAAGAATATTGCTGTAAATTTTGTGTTTGCCTGTAAAGCAGTGACATTGAATAGATAAGACATATCAACAAGTGTGTTTGGACGGCTGTGACACCTTGTGAAAACAATAATAGCTTGCAATTGGTGCTTGCATGGCTTCAGTGTTGAAAATGAATATGCTTTTCTTTCATAAACCTGGGGGGTGTTTCACAAAACTTGTCATCAGTGGCAAATGACAGTTTTTGTTATAAATCCTTGCTTCTGATTGGTTATCAGCAGATTTGTCAATGATATATGTCATTTGTCATTGAAAAAAGGCTTTGAGAAACAGGTCCCTGGTGTCAGAAGATACACAAGACTCACAAAGAAGTGTGGAATGAAAGTGAATATCACTTTGATTTAATTTGATTTAATTTGATTTTTCAAATTATTTTCAACGACATACCTTCTTCTTTCTCTTCATCCTTCTTCTCCTTCTCTTCGCTGCTTCCATCTTTAGATTTCCACTCTACCCTGTAACCAGTGTGTTCGCCTTCAGAGGGTGGGGACCAGCAAACTTTGAGCTTGTTGGAGGCAGTCTCTTCAATCTTTGGTTCCACGGCGAAGTGTGGCCCTGTGGATGGGGGGGGGGGGAGGGGGGAATGAGATGGAGATATGAATACTAAGACAAAAATAAATACAGTGAAATGTGTATTATAAAGACCACTCAACTGAGACAAGAAAAGTATTTATTGACAGCTGGCCTCTACGTACAGGTTCATTTGAAATATTTCAATGAGTTTACTCTATTCAAGGGAAAACAGAAAATGTGATCTTAATACTCTAAACAGGTGCTTGCTAAAAAGCAGCTCATGTAAATGACTACTACTAAATACATTTTATTAACTACATATACAACTCTATTACCTTCTAGTACTAGTAAATGTTAAATGACTACCCATAGGAAAGAAATGAGCCTGCCGCATACTCCTGCGGCAGACTTGCCGCAGATCTGCAGCAGACCTGCAGCAGACCTGCCGCAGACAAATTAGTTTTGCCGCAGACTTGCCGCAGACTTGCCGCATACTCTTTCAGTATGATGAAGAGTCTGCGGCAGGTCTGCCGCAGACTTGCTGCAGACTTGCCGCATACTCTTTCAGTATGATGAAGAGTCAGACCTGCCGCAGACTTGCTGCAGACCTGCTGCACACTCTTCCAGTATGATGAAGAGTCTGCGGCAGGTCTGCCGCAGACTTGCCGCATACTCTTTCAGTATGATGAAGAGTCTGCGGCAGGTCTGCCGCATACTCTTTCAGTATGATGAAGAGTCTGCGGCAGGTCTGCCGCAGACTTGCTGCATACCTGCAGCGGACTCTTCGTCATGAATATTCATATCTCATATAGACCTGCTGCAGACCTGCCGCATACTCTTTCATATCCAGTACGTGGCAATAAAATATGCATGAAGAAGAACCAGTGATAAACTGATTGATACTTCATAATCAATATATTGGCAATATCGATATTACCAATTAGGTAATACCAATATATATCGATATTACCAATTAGGTATATTCTATTCTCAATTGTATTAACTTCATCACATTGATCATTTGAAGTGTATTCAAGAGTAACATTTAAAGTGACACAGGCTCGTACACATATATATACTAAATATGTATATTGTTTCTTGGTTAGTAATCATAGTTTCTTGGTTAGTAATCAATATATCTATTGCTTAAACGTGAATGTAATTGTAACATGATCAGACAAAATAATCTATTGGTTAATAATGGCAAAAGGAAAATAGAAATCACAAAAATGATGTGCATTGTCTTAATTTGCTTAACAAATCATGATAAAAGTATTTTTCTGTCACACGTGTAAAGTAATAATGAATATGCATGAGATGATTGGTTTCAATTGGCCCTATTAGACTTTAATGGGATTTCCTGTGGCAGACCTGCCGCAGACTGTTCCTGTGGCGTACTGGTATGCGGCAAGTCTGGAGCAAAGTTTCGCCCTGCCGCAGATCTGCCGCAGACTGTTGCTGTGGCATACTAGTATGCGGCAAGTCTGGAGCAAAGTTTCATCCTGCCGCAGATCTGCCGCAGACTGTTCCTGTGGCATACTAGTATGCGGCAAGTCTGCAGCAAAATTTCATCCTGCCGCAGATCTGCCGCAGACTGTTCCTGTGGCATACTAGTATGCGGCAAGTCTGGAGCAAAGTTTCATCCTGCCGCAGATCTGCCGCAGACTGTTCCTGTGGCATACTAGTATGCGGCAAGTCTGCAGCAAAATTTCATCCTGCCGCAGATCTGCCGCAGACTGTTCCTGTGGCATACTAGTATGCGGCAAGTCTGGAGCAAAGTTTCATCCTGCCGCAGATCTGCCGCAGACTGTTCCTGTGGCATACTAGTATGCGGCAAGTCTGCAGCAAAATTTCATCCTGCCGCATACTTCGGCATACTCTTTGCCGCAGACTAAAAGTCTGCGGCAGGTCTGCGGCAGGTCTGCGGCATACTTTTCACTTTCCTATGGGTAGAGCCTCTATATGACAATATGTCTTGAAATCCTTTACTAATTTATGTCTGGATTAAATCATAATAGTACTGAAGCATTACTACAAGTTACATCTAGCAATTACCTGGATGAGTTGATAAAAGAGCGGGGACAAATACATTTCACAGATATCAATTTATGGTACATGGATGTACATGTACTACTGTACTGTACATGTACATATTGTACAACTACTTGTTATCTGGCAAGGTATTTAGTTTGTGTCCAAAAGGTTAATACCAAGTTTAATGAATTAATAAACATTATTAGTCTTGAAGCATACATGTAGGTGTAATTATATTCTTGATATCTAATATAATCCACAATAGGGGCATAAACTTCTTACATTTACAATCAATAGATCTATATTCAAACTTTTGATATATTCACTGTAGTTGATTTGGAAGGAAAAGTTACTTGTGAATTTCTTGATGGTGACTTTCTCTGACTCCTTCTCTCCATTCACAGTATAGATCTCCATCTCATGTTCTCTCCCCGCCACTAGACCGGACAGCTCATGAGACGTCTCATGATCTCCTCCATCCAGTTTGACCTCTGACCTTTCACCTCCCTTGGGCTGGCACACGACCCTGTAACCTGTGACCTCTCCCTCAGGTTTGACCCAGGTCAGCTGGATGGTGTCAAGGGTTGATTCGGCCTTGGGATCTTTGACCTGGTTGCTTTCAGATTCTGAATTGTGAAAAAAAAAAAGAACTAATGGAATATGATGATGCATTGTACATTGTTACTGCATAATTTAGGAAACCAGTTAAATGACTCATCACTACATGTACATAGTTTCTCCAAGTCATGACTGAATAATCATGTACTTTTCTCCTAGAAGATCTACACATAGGCACAATAAATGAACATACATGTATTGTTTATACATATATGTGCATCTATCTGTAAGTGCATCTTTACTCAGTGGAAGTACATGTACAAACATGTAGAAGGAGACACAAAATTATACTTATTGCAAAAATGTTCATCTTGGAAAGAAGGGAGCTACATAGAACAGAAAATCACAATATATGTATTAGTATTTTAAAAAGAGATGTACAGTACTGCAGAGTATACATACAGGATTTAAAGAGTAGTAGTAGTAGTAGTATTGACTCGGGTAGATTTAACAGAAGAGAAATTGTATATACAATGTAGAAATCATGGAGTGAAGAAAGACTTTTTACTAGAGTACATATACATATTTCTATACTTGTGTGTGCATATTCATGTGATATCTCGTATCTCAAATCTATACAGGTAATCAAGAGATAGGAGCTCCCACCTTCACAACTGAATTACGATGAAACTGACTGAATTCATCTCAGATTCAATCATAAAAATATCAACAACAATGTTAGACAAGGAGAAAAAAATATAAGACAGGCAAGAAATAGAGATGAACCAAGTAAATGTACATTTTTATATTTATTCTACACATACTATTTATTGTTTTAAAAAAATATTGAACATAACTATATGTAAATACAAGATCTGTACACGTAGAATATAAGGGAATCATTTTGACAAAGGAAATATACAAGTATGTTAGTTGTGTGCAGTCTGATCTGAAAAGTTCCGGTGATCATCACAAGACTGTCATCTAAGTCTAACAGTGCTTTTGGTATTAGTCAGTGCTCTTTCCAACCTGTTTTCTTTTTCTTCTTTGATTTAAAGTTCTTATAGTTCTTCTGGATTGTTCTTGCTGCTTCATCCTCGTCCATTTGCTTTGTGGGAGCTTGAAAAAGTTATGGGGAAGATACCAGAGTGATTATTCTATCTATGGTTAAAGACTTTTGGTATTACAAAAAACGCTAAACGGATCATAAACCTTGGATTGAAAAAGAAAAAAAAATGATTTCAGTGTCATAGAGTATTAATGAGCCAAAAATCAAAAATTAAAATAAAATATGTAAAAAAACACAGATATAAATCAAAACCTGGCAAAGTATGCCAATGGTCATACATTCCACAAAAGTACATGTGTTATACAAAAGAATTTTAAGTTGAGTAAACATTATTGCATAGTGTACAGTACCTTTAATAATCTCTAAAGCTCTTTTCTTATACAATGATGATCACTGAAAGAATCTAGAAAATTAACAGTAATTCATAAGCAGTCTTTCTCCTTTCCTCTCTCTTTAACCCTCTTACTCCCTTTGTACAATTTCTACTCTCTTCCCCCCCCCTCTCTCTCTCTCTTTCTCTCTAACTCTCCCTTCTCTATCTCTCTTGTTTATGTCTCCTTCTCTCCTTATTTACAGAATTCATCATATATAATCAGTCAAACTTTTGTTAGTAATGGTGCATCACTTACTTCACTCCTTGTGCAATGTGCACTGGATTCTAAACTTGATTTTAACAGTTCATATACTACCTGTTTAACCCCCTCCCCTTTCCCTCTCTCTCTCTCCCTCTTTCTCTTCCTATCCTCCTCTCCCTGAACACAAAAGTCATTAAAAAGTACAAACCTTTTTTTTTTAATAGTGCATAAGTCACTCAACTCTTTGTGTAATGTGGGGCATTTCATTTAAAAAAAATTAATCATCATCATCATCATCATCATTAGTATCCTTATTAAAGGGACAGGTATGCCAGTTAGAACTGATCAGAGGGCCTGAAAATCACCTAGAATGAGTTATTTTGTACACAAATAAGCCTAAACTATGGTCTGAAAATAACTCGCAAGGGCCTGAATTAAGGCTATTGCCTGAAAACTGGCATCTCTGAAGGGAAATCAAACCTTGAAAGCAAACTACTCAAGAGGAAATCAGAAAAATCAGAGAAGTAAACTGGTGAAATTTTGAATGAAATCGGACAACAACAAAGGTTGTAATCACTACAGGTATGGGCTCTTTAAATTGTTTGAATCCGTAATGCCTGTGTGATGAAAATATTACAAGGGCAGGTTTTCCCTTTATTCACAACTTGGTGATTGGCCCATTTAAAGTTAGTACTTGTGCAATAATCATCACTCATTCCAAGAGCAGACCACTTCAAAGTTGGTTGTTAAAGTTTCATCTTCGAGATGTTTCTATACCTTTCTTCTCTTCCTTGGCTGAAAGTGAGAAACAAGGGAAGATAAACAGAAACAAATTAGAGTTAATAGAAGTCACAAAGAGTTTTCACATATTTTAAGAGGTATATTGGCCTTATCTTCAGTATCAACATGCTCAATCTTCAAAATGTTAAATTTCATAGTTTTCCCAAATATATTAATGCACTGCCAACAGTTCATTGCATATCATTATCAGGTTAAATGTAAATATTGGAATAAACATTTATTTACATTTGTTTATTTTTGTCACAATTCCTTATTGCAAACAGTTAAACAAAGTCCACCAAAACATTTCCATGTATATGTTCATTCTCAAAAGTCTGCTAACTTGGGGAACCTCTCTCTTTTTTTTTTCAAGCATGAATATTTAAAATATAAATTATAATTTGTTGTTGTTGTAAATTACAGAAGCTGTACCCCATACTTTCAACAAACTGTCCAACTCTTTAATGCACAATGATGAAACGAAATAGTTACCTGTTTTGCCAGTAAGTTTAACTCTCTCACTCTTCTTATCCCCGTTGAGAGAAAAGATTTTGAGAACATAGGTCCTGTTCGGCAGCAGGTGGTCAAAAGTAGCCTTGGTGATCTCAGGGTCATCAATCTTGATGTCTTCTATTTCTTTTTCATCCTTTGATTTGCTTTTCTTATCCTTCTTGTCCTTCTTTGAGCTCTTTTGATCTTTCTCTCCATCATCTTTATCTTTCTTGTCTTTTGCAAGAGATGTCTTTTCCTTTTTCTTCTTGTTTTCCTTCTTCCCATCATCATCACCAACAGTAGTCTTTTCTTCCTTCTCTTCGTCATCATCTCCAACAGTTGTCTTTTCCTTCTTCTTTTTCTTCTTCCCGTCATCATCGTCGTTACCAACAGTAGTCTTTTCTTTCTTCTTCTTCTTTTCTTCCTTCCCCTCATCATTCCCAATGGAAGTCTTTTCATTCTCCTTTTCCTCTTCTTTGTTTAGATCTTTTGGTTCTTCCTCCTCACCATCCTTTTTGTTATCTTTTTCTTCTTCTTCTTCCCCTCCGACAGAAGTTTTTTCTTTCTTTTTACCCTTCTTGTCTCCATCCTCCTTCTCTTTCTCACCGACCTTTGTCTTTTCTTTCTTCTTCTTCTTGTCCTTCTTTTCATCCTTTGCTTCTTCTTCATCATCTACCTCCTTCTCAGAGTCTTCCTCTTTTGTTTCGCTTTCTTTTCTGTTCTTCTTTTTATCCTTCTTGTCTCCATCCTCCTTCTCTTTCTCACCGACCGTTGTCTTTTCTTTCTTCTTCTTTTTGTCCTTCTTTTCATCCTTTGCTTCTTCTTCATCATCCCCCTCCTTTTCAGAGTCATCCTCTTTTGTTTCACTTTCTTTTCTTTTCTTCTTTTTATCCTTCTCCTTTGATTTGTCTTTCTTATCCTTCTTCTCGCTCTTGTCTTTACTCTTCTCTCCATCCTTCTTGTCTTCTGCTGTGCAGGTCAGCAGGTATCCTGTGAGGTCACCAGCGGGTCGTTTCCATGACAATGTGATTGATGTAGATCTCGCTGACTCAATCGCAGCATCTTTGACTGGCAAAACCTTGGTTTCTTTGGCGAAAGCCACAGAAGCTGTGAACAAAGAGAAAAACAACGTTTTATAATACGCATGTACCATGTATAACCTCTGACCTAATGTATGACCTTTGACCTAATGTACATGTACAAGTAAAAACATGAAATGAACTAAGATTCATTAGCTAATGAATTCATCGACTCTTTGTCTGCTTCTGAATAAAATCTCTCTTTTTGAGTATTTTTGACATACTGTACATACTAAATTTGCAATAAAGGATAACTATAATGGTATTCCACTCTATGCTCCATTATATTGAATGAAACAGAAAAAGGACTTAATGTCTTTTGAGATACATGTAAAAGTATCTTGATGATGAAATATCAGTAGCAGCAAAACGAATAGAGATAGAGAGATTTCTACAACAACTGCCAACACAAATTGAATACAAAAGATAAGAAATACTGCACCCCATAAATAACATGTATTAGCTGGGGAAGGCATAGATTTGGTTTTACCTTGCAAATTAACACACTGTACATGTACATACATAAACACTTCATCAAAACATGGAATAATGATAAACAATGATAAATAATAATAAAAACAATAATGACTGAATAATGAAGAACTTACCTTTGTGAGACTTCTTGCTTTCCTCAATCGGTCCTGGAACATTAAAACAAAGCATCAAAACACATTTTCAAAAGCAACTGACATATTTCGCCCTATATGTACAGCACATAGAGTTTATTAAAATTTTGTTGTAAATACCTATTATAATTGAGGCATTATCTAAAGAGAAGACAAAAGACTTGATGCATGGCTGATCTTCAACGAAACAGGGTTAAGTCTTTTCTCAACTCTGTTGCTACGGCAAGCAGTAAGTGAAAAAGAATTTGTTTAATCAAATTATGGAAATGCAAGCATTACTTTAAACCAACAGAACTTTGTTATTCCTGGCACATTTTCTCTGATAGAGGTGTCACATGAAAGGGCAGAAAATGAACTTTCTAGAAAGTTCAGATACCGCCCTAAAAATGACTTTTTAGTTTCCTCTCTTCAAAATGTTTTCAATCACTCATGCATGAAATATGCATC